TCAAATTCAATTTTTTCGCTAGATCATCAGTTAAAAAAGATCTTTGTGCACCTTCATCAAATAAAATATTAGTATCCATACACATACTACCTGACCATACAGGAGCTACAGCAGTCTTCAATAGCACATTTGTGCGCATCTGTGTCGAAGAATGTAAAATTTTCGTATCTTCCTTATTTTCAGTATTATTAATGATATTGACAGATGTAGATTGATTATGATTTTGATTGTTCTGTTTCTCTGGGTTGCTTACAGTTTCCCTGTTACCATGGTTACCTACATTACACAAGCTGGAATGGTGTCTCTTGTTACAGTGTCTACACGTTCTTTTTGATTTACACTCATTGGCATGATGATTCCCTAAACAATTAAAGCATAAATTGTCTCGTTTAACTATAGATATGCGGGCTTTAGGGTCACTAACCTTGGTACAGTATGTTGGCGCATGTATGTCTTTACAAAAAATACATGGTCTCTCCTTAATATTCCGGGGCTGGCCTTTCTTCGCGTTGTGTGCTATGTGTCCTTGTGGTGAATTATTTCCTGTGTGAAATGTACTTATAGATGTGTTTGCAAACTGGTGGTCTATAGAATCAAGATAAGTGCCTGTATTTTGTCCTGCCTCCATGATTTGAATTTCGTTAAGTATACTCTTCCTCAAATCTTTCAAATTCCAACTGGACGGTCCGTGTTCTCTGGCTAAGTGTTGTCTGATTTCACTGGGTAACTTTCTCATGATAATCGGTACCAGTAAAGTTCCATATGACGTCTCAGGTTGTCCGAGCGAATCTAAACCTCTTACGTAGGCTTCACATCGGTCATAAAATAATCTTAAGCTTGTTAAGGTGTATCGTGGTTGGGCAATATCTACAAGAGCTTGTAAGTAGGCTTCCGTAATTCTGTGTGTTTGTCCGAACCGTTCCTTGAGTACATTTATAGCCTCCATGTAATTACCATTTGTAAGCGCAAATCCAGTTATCGTATTTAATGCCTCGCTTTCAAGTTGCGATTTCAGATAATTAAATTTCTCAATGTTTGTCAAAGTAGGATTAAAATGTACAGCAGATTCGTACGAGTCCCAAAACGTTTGCCAATCTAAAATGTTGCCATTAAACTTCGGTAGTGATAACTTGGGTAAACGATGGTTACTAGTACTAGCTATATTTTGTGGAGCAATATGACCTGTATCAGAGCCATTGTAGCTTGTCTGTGGTTGAGCGGCGGATGAAGCATAGAATGGTGTTGCGTTTTGAAAGTTATCAACATTTGCCGGGCGGAAAGGAGGGCTTTCTACATTGAGTACTTGATATGAAGATTGTGTTACATTGGAACTTGGTGTACGGTTTTGACCAATTTGTATAAAATTACGAAAATGTCTAAGTTTAGTGTCTAAATTATTTGAATACTCATCTGTATCTACTATTTCACTTTCAACGTTGTCTGAATCCGTTGCTTCCAATATCTGTTCGTTCAGTTTTTCCAACAATTTCTTCTTTTGCGTAAGATTATCGTACGTTGCAAGTAGTTCATCTCTGTCGAAGTCCGTGTTTTCCTTCGCCTCCTCGAATTTTCGGAAAAGTCTCGTCACTGCACTTCTATTTCCAGTTCTTATATTCTTTAACTTCTCCATCTTCGATGTAATCCTGGTCACGGCACCATAAATGTCGGGGCTAACTCAAACTATCGTTATACAGAAAGAACACAACCATACAGTTTAACGTTTACTTCATATATATCCGAGCTGCTAAGGCTACGTCCCACATTGACGTCAACCCTAGACACAATAGGTAAAACGCGACGTCTTAACTCCCGCGGTATTCTCAACAGATAGCGAAATTTGCATTCTTGTGTTTTTCTTTTGTGTATCATTCAGAAGTAGAGGAGAATACAATTTTGAAGTAATTTTTTCTTCTCAAGTCTCAATATTGAAGATTACTAGTATTATAGAATTATAGAGTATAAGGTATAGGGAAGAAGGGAGAGGGTGAAGAAAATAATGTTACTATGTCAGGGCCTTTTATAACCGAACTAAACGTTAGAGGTTTTTCTCATGGTTGATGGCCTTATGGTTGCCTATTATAATTGCTTATATCCACTTCATTCAATAAGGCAGCTGGGGTGTCAACATTTTCGGCGATAAATGCTTCGTAAGCTTCTGTAAAAGACTTTTCGGTCAAAGTTATTTCAAATTTCAATATAAAAACTGGGGATCGTGGACCTTGTTTTTTCGTAACAATACATTGAAATTAACCACATTTAGGGTATTTTATTTTGTTTATGTAAGGGAAACTTAAGTTTTCCTTATTGAAGAAACATAAAACGATAGAATTGTCTAAAATTCGAAGAGATAATTTCGTTAAATAATACTTCTGAAATATATATATATATAAAAAAAGGGGGTCACGGGCCTAATTTTCTTGAAAAAAAATATTGATAGTTCAATCTTCAACATGCGTGATTTATGACAACTTATCGGTGGGTGTGTAAATATTGACACCTTTGTGTAATGTCTATATCCAAAAGCATTTATGTAAACTACATGTACATCTACATGCTGATTGGAATTAATACGAATATATTTGTTGATTTCTAATACAATATTACAGGATCAAGATTGATTAACAAGAGAAATCTTCTGATCAGGAAAGAAATTACCAAACACTCACATTGTATACGGTTTCTGGGGAATGTGTCTTTCTCAGAACAGTCTTTTTCGGACTTTATTAAACAACAAACGATTTTTTTTCAATGCATACAGCTTTTTTTTAAAACTGAATGTCGTATTTTTCCCCTTATTTTTTTTATGGAAACCAACGATTTGTCTTTAAAAAAAACCTTCCCCCTCCACAAAAGATGAATGGTCTGTGCCTTATATATAATCATTAATAAAATGATATTGTATTTTTCAAAAACCTATACTCATATTTGAGATAAAGAACAGCAATAAAAGCGCTGTTCCTTTTCTTATTGTGTGTTTTTTTGCTGTGCATGTACTGATTTTGTGTCGTGGATGGATACCCCATATCCTTCTTTTTCTATTATAGTACAGTAATATGTGTATATTTTTTCTTGTTTTAATTACCATGTATGAGGGTATGAATAGGTTACCGTGAATGAGGGTAAGAATGGTTTACCGTGAATGAGGGTATGAATGGGGTTTACAGATTAGAGAAAAATGGTCAAAAAGTAAAGACTAGAAAAAAATGTGCCCAATAGCATTATACTGGATACAATCTAATGAATTTACACTAGAAACATTTTTTAGCATCATAGTGTATGATTACATTCTCATAACATCGCCCTTGGTACATTTGTATAGCATTACATACGTAGATTCGTATATCATTACATATGTACATTCGTATAGCATTACATACGTACATTCGTATAGCATTACATACGTACATTTATTTCATGAAACCAGTACATTTATATCATGACACCAGTACATTTATATCATGACACCAGTACATTTATAGCATGACACCAGCACATTTAAAGCATATAACTATAATACACAAAGCTTTAGACTTAGACTTAACAATACGGCTTAAGCATTACAATATACACAATGCTAAGGCATAACACAAGCAGTGATCTATGCAATGGGAAGTTATTTAAAAAACTCCGATCTGTTTTATTTTGCTGAAATTCATATACGGGTTCTTCTTTTGACCTTATTACAGCCATTCTCAAGATAATATGCATTTGCAGATTTCTTATTTTTTATGAGTCGTACATGTGGAAATTTAAGAAATAATGGTACAAGAAATTATTTCCTTTGTTAATGAATCTCCAGCAAACATTATACCATGTATAATGCCTTGTCGTGTAGTTAAAGAAAAGGGAAAGCTATCGAGACAGGAAATTTTCAAGTAAAATTGTAGAACCACGTGCACGTGTGTGAACTTGACAAATAGAATGGGTTGTGTACGCAATACCTCGCATAGTGCCGGAAATGGTGAGGATGAAAAGAAGTGATCCCAATATTATAACCGAATTTTTCAAATATGTATAGAATCATTCTGTACTAATCTGGACAACTCGATATTTTATTCAAAATTATTAGAACAATACAAATATTTCAAAATAAGATGTGGAACCCTGTCTAATCAAGAAAAGATTGAGTTAAAGTCTATGCAGTAACTTTTTTTCACTTGCAGTATATTTATTTGCCAATTTGCATTATTTTGGCAGCAGAAATATCCTTAAACATTTTTCAGTTTGTATCATTATCAACCATGTGAACCGATTACGCTTTTATTTGTTTTGGCATTTCCAATACTTAGGAAAATGTGTTACACACACTCACGATTTGTATGACAATACTGTACAGTACAATGGGTATACTAGCGTTATAGAGTAGAATTTGTGGTGACGTTACAGCAGACATCAATGACGTCGCCGAATAGTTTATAATTTTCCGCTAAAAATCAAACTTCAAGAGAATATAACTTGAAAACTAGCACGGTTGCTAAGGACTTTCTTTGCATCAATGGATTCGTCGTTTATTTTTGAATCGCATTTCGAATTTAAAAAAAAAATCTGTTGACCAATGAATTAGAAAATCATGATAAACTAAAAATATCTGCCGTTTTTTATGATTTTCCCTATATATCCTTTGTATTTCTGGCGTATCAAACTGTTAGTTTTAACAGCTTGTATCTGAAAAACGAAAACGGTTACCCCCTTTTTTTATTTTATATTCTGGTGTAATTTTACAAGCAGAATCCACATGTAAAATATAAAAAAAATCTGTGGAGTAGTTATATTACGTACACTTCGCCTTAAGGCTACATTTTGTCTGCTGACAGAGGGAAACTCACTAAAAGGGATTAAAAGTTACCACATTTCTTTCATCTGATGAGTCATACTAGCTGAAACAAGAGCTATGGGGAATTTGTATTGTTATATCGAAAATTTTACATTGATTTTTTTTTCAGAATTATAATAATGATTGTTTTTACAGATATTTTGATTGTTCTTTGTCACCTTTCTAGGACCCTGTTGTGGCTATTGAAGAATTATTACGTAAAGGAGCCATTGCTGAGTCTTTTTCCCAGATGGAGGCTGAGCGATGTTACTCATCAATATTAGACTATGTTGATGACTTGAAAAAAAAAGAAAATGCAGATTTGAAGTTTACTGTAAATATTATTTATTGGGATAATTATACTTTCTTTATCACCAGAATGATGTAAATGTTTCAAAAATATGAGCTTTTAGAATCTGAAGGGGAGAAGGTATGATGAGGCCAGTTTGTACCCCATTCCTTCAAAGTTATCAAAGTACTTCAAATCTGTACAATAACATTGGCAAAACTTGCCAAAAAACACCTGGCTCTTTAAAAGATTTTCCAAATTCTTTTTTTTTTTGATGTGCAACAGCATTCCCCATTAAGAAATTTGCCAAATGATGTTATACGGAAAGATCCTAACCTGAGTCACAAGTTTTCTGTCAGGCTGTTTGATGTTCTTTTTATCATAAAACTAAATGTAAAATAGAAATAATTGCTAAAATATATGAATAACAGGAGATGAAGGATATACATTTATAGACTTGTACCCTAAAATATAAATAACCTGAGACATTGTAAGATCGAACATCCAGTCTTTAACAAAAGGTATCTAAAACATGTCAAGCTCTAAGTATGAAAAAGTTGTTCATTATTTAATAAGAAACTACTGTAAGTTCAGAAATTATTGCATGTATTTATTATTGCGATTTTTGAAGAACAAACTAAAATATGAGATCAATCTTTTAGATTTTAGGAAACCCTGCATACAGGTATATGTATCAGATATCAGATTGCGAATTCTCATTATTACGATACCCACCCAGTATTTGCAGTATTAAAGATCTTCCATCAACACCAAATTCTTTTGTTACTATAGCTGTTCATATAAAATTGAGAATGGAAACGGGGAATGTGTCAAAGATACAACAACCCAACCAAAGAGCAGAAAACAGCCAAATCCCACCAATGAGTCTTCAACACAGCGAGAAAATCTCACACTTGGAGGCTGGCTTCAGCTGGCCCCTTAAAAAATGTATTCTAGTTCAGCAAAAATGGACGTCACACATTAAATTAAGTATGCATGGTTCACTGAATGAACAGATATTTGTTTATAATGTTCAGTAGTTGCTCAATTTATGTCAGATGTTGTCTTTTGGAATTTTCATGTTCCTGTGTTGTTAAAACTAACCACCACAGAATTTTACAAATGTATATATAGAAATGAGCATTAAACAACATAAAACAGAAAAAAAAGACACCTACTTCTTATCGCTTCAAGTTTGGAAATTTAAGCAAAACCTAAAAAAAATAGATCTGTTACAGGTAATGGAAAATGTTGTAAAGTTTTGTCAGCAGAGTAGAAGTGAGAATAGTATGGACATGATGAAAACTTTCAAAGATATATTTCCCGGTAAGTTGTTTTAAATCAATTACAATGACTATATATCATAATGAGGGGAAAACAAATTTTATTTAAAGAGATGTCTAATGTTCAGATGATGGTTTCCATTTTTGCCATTCAGGAGTTATAGCTTAATATAGGCCTTTATTGATAGGAAAAGGAAAGTTTACGTCAATTACATGAGAACTGTGCTAGTCCCACCACATTCTTTTTGAGCTGGTCCAAAGTCAAGAACCAGTAGTTCAGTGGTTGTTGTTGGTTCATGTCTGTTATATTTGTTTTTCATAGATTGTTTTGTTATCAATTAGGCCGTTAGTTTTCTCAATTGAATTGTTTCATATTTATCATGTCGGGCCTTTTATAGCCAACTATATGGTATGAGTTTTCTCAATGTTAAAGACTGTACAGATACCTATAATTGCTTACATTGCACTTTGGTGGATAGTTGTCTCATAGGCAATCCCATCACATCTCCTTACTTTTATATTTTTTATGTGCTTTGAAATGAAATTTTGCATAGTTGTTAAACATCATGTGAATATTTAGGAAATGTTTAGAACCCCTTCCGATTCAAAATAGCTTTGTTTTTGCACTATGTTTCCACTGAGATGGAAATAAGATCCCTTTTAGTAAGCTCTCTTATCTCTAGAGGTACTCTGAATGAAATTACAGTATGCAGTTCCTTTAATTTCAATGCATCACAACTGCAAAGATATTCTGGGATTTGCCCCAACTGTGAGGTTTAAGAGACTTCAAAAACTTTAAAAAAAAAACATTCAATCAAATTGCACAAATTTAACATCTTCCATTGATTGTTTTTACAGACACTAGATGTTTGTATGTGAAAACTCTGACAGGTAAAACTATAGGAGTAGATCTACTGGGCTCTGATACAATAGAACAAGTCAAGGCCAAGATACAAGATTTAGAAGGGATCCCAATAGATCAACAGAGATTGGTTTTTGATGGAAAACAGCTAGAAGATAGTCGTACATTACAGGATTACAGTATGTAAACAAATTGTTTACTACAAATATTATGTTTTTATTTTCAGGTATTATAGATATATTATTCGAAAGTTTCTATCGGTTGAAACTATATTTTAGGTAAAGCAACAAGGGGGTATGCAACAATAGACAGTTTCCAATTTCCATTTATGAATACTTGCCCAGTTGACTTTGAGACACTCTGGGGGAAAACATGACATAGGACATTGTTACATGAAGGTAATTGCTATTTGATGTCAATTTTTTGTGGACAATAAAATTTAGAATGTGTCAAAGAGACAACAATCCGACCAAAGAGCAAATAACAGCCCAAGGCCACCAATGGGTCTTCAACACAGTGAGAAAATCCCTCACCTGGAGGCGGGCTTCAACTGGCCCCTAAATTGGATGATTAACATCATTGAAAGAGCACATCAACTACTCAAATAACCAAAATTGTATTTCAGTGGTCAGTGTACTGAGTCTTAAACAATAGACAGGTACTTATACAATAGGTCAACCTCAAAAGCCTCTAGAGTCTAGAAATGGTGGGAATAAATTGTGTTTGAGCTTTTGATTTTGCCATTTGATAAGGGACTTTCTGTTTTGAATTTTCCTTGGAGTTTGCTATTTTTTTATTATTTTACTATCAAAGATCTGTCTTTAACACCAAAAACAAAACATGCAGACATGACAAAAGATAAATACTGTCAATGTTAATTTTTCTCTGTAATAATTCCTTTCATTTTATGTTGCCTCCATACCATATTTATCACTGACCAATTCAACAGGTCACCATACCAAACTGGTCAAACTAGCTACGTCTGCTAAGTTGATTAATATACTATGTTTTCTAGATCAATAAATCTAATAACAAAATTAAGAAGTTTTTATGCCCCCGCCGTAGCGGAGGGGGCATTAAGTTTTACCCTTGTCCATCTGTCTGTCCGTCCGTACGTCCCAAAGTTGGTTTCTGTTCTCTAACTTTAGTTTGCCTCAACCAAATGTTATGAAACTTATACACAATGCTTATTACCACTAAATACAGATCAAGTTTGAATTTTGGTGGCGTCACTTTTACCGTTCTAGAGTTATGCTCCTTTACAAATGGAAAAAGTTTCCGTTCTCTAACTTAAGTTTGCCTCAACCAAATGTTATGAAACTTATACACAATGCTTATTACCACAATATACAGATCAAGTTTAAATTTTAGTGCCGTCACTTTTACTGTTCTAGTTTACAAAGTGGTGGTATTCCATATAGCCATTTACATATAAGTGTTATCATTTATCAGCAAAAAGATCAGATTTTGGCATTAAACCAGAAAAAGACAAGATAGTTCAGCGATTCATATTGCCATATTAAAACATTGATAAGGTATCAATTGATGTAAAAAATAATAGATGCAATTCAGATTTCATTCCAAAACTACAAAACATCTTCTGAAAGTGTTAATTACTGCATCAGGAAAATTTGAGATAATGACACTTTTCCTGTTTTATCAACTAATTCCTTTTTTTAAAACAAGAGAAAAGATGAAATATTTTTTAAACTTCTATGGAAATCAGATTTAAATTCAATGCAACTGTTAAAATATCACGTTTTTTATATGACCGCAAAATTTTTTTGCATTTTTTGCGGTCGTATATTGGTATGACATTGGCGTCGTCGTTGTTGTCGGAAGACACATTGGTTTTCGCACAATAACTTTAGTTTAAGTGTATGGATCTCTATGAAATTTTACCATAAGGTTCAATACCACAAAAGGAAGTTTGGGATTGATTTTGGGGGTTATGGTACAAACAGTTAAGGAATTAGGGGCCAAAAAAGGACCCAAATAAGCATTTTTCTAGTTTCCAGACAATAACTTGTGGAACGGTGTATGAATCTCTCTTAAATTATACCACAAGTTTCCATACCACAAAGGGATGGTTAGGATTGACTTTGGGGGGTTATGGCTCAAACCCTTTTAGGAATTAGGGGCAAAAAAGGGGGGAAAACAAGGGTTTCCTGGTTAATGAACAATTTAAAAGCAGTGTAAGGAGGTAATCCAAATACATTTAAAGTATTAAAAAAAAGTTTGGATTACCTCCCTTACATTGCTTTTAAATTATGTATAAAGATGTTGTATTGTCTTGAGGTGATTAGCTGTCAATTAATTTTTAGAAGTTACTATTAAAGGAATATTAATTTTAGCCATGATTATGTATGTCATTTTCTATTTTAAGACTTTTATGATTTAAATTGGTAATTATGGTTGCAAACTCCATTGGAAATTTGAATTGAGATTATGACCATATCTTGAGGGGAACAATTATTTTTTAGGGAAAAGGGGGGGGGGGGGGGGTAAAAAAGAAATTGTGCGGGGGGGGGGGGGGCAATTTTTTCTCATTTCAGATTTCAGAAATTAAAAAAGAAAATTTCTTCAAATATTTTTTTTTTTTTGCAAAATAAAGGGGGGGGGGGGGGTCAATACGCAACAGCATGGTGTATTGCACAAAAGCAAAAAATGGAATATAAATTCAGATCATATAACCAATTCTAAGTTCTTTGACTACAGTTATTCTGTGTCAGAAACCTATTATGTGTCAAATATTTAATTACAATCCAAATTCAGACCTGTATCAAGCACGAATATTGTGTCCATTTTTGCCCCAACTGTTCAGGGTTGGACCTCTGCAGTCGTATCCAGCTGCACTCAGCGAAGCATTTTATTGTATTTTAAAAAACCAAAGTGACATCTCTTTGAAAAGTCAGTACACAACAATTTGTGAGACTTAAATTCTATCCATAGGCTACATGCATTTGTATTATAGCTGGATGTTTTATTAGGGTTCTTGTTCTAAGTGTATGCTTGAAAATTTGCAACTACACATTAAGTAACCAGCTTTGGCTATGTAAGTCTTTTGATTCATTTTATTTCAGGAATAACAAATGAAAGTGCAATTCATATGGTGTTACGTTTAAGAGGAGGACCTGATTCTCTTTTTACAACAGTTCAATGTTCAGGATCAGAACCACTTTCATTGCCCGGTCCGACTCAGGAGCAACTACAACAAAATTTGAAAACCAAGGTTCAGGAAAAACAACAATTGTTCCAGTCTCAGTTTCAACAACTACAACAACAAAAGTTGCAGCAACAACAACAGTTAGAGCAACTGCGCAAAACACAACAGTTGGAGCAACACCATCCCTTGTATAAACTATCCAGACCTGATCCATTACTTTTGTTGCAGTCCAATATTCAGCAACCACAGCAAATGTTGCAGTCCAATGTACAGCAACAACAGCAAATGTTGCAGCCCCAGGTTCAGCAACAACAAATGTTTCAGCCCCAGGTTCAGCAACAACAAATGTTTCAGCCCCAGGTTCAGCAACAACAAATGTTTCAGCCCCAGGTTCAGCAACAACAGCAAATGTTGCAGCCCCAGGTTCAGCAACAACAGCAAATGTATCAGCCATGGGTTCAGCATCAACGACAACCAACTGCAGATTGTGTCAAGTTTTTTAGTCCATTGGCTGGACAGTCCTCATTTCTTAATACCAAAAGTAGTCCCACCACCATTGATGTTACACCACCAACATTTCAGCAAACAAATCATTTTGGATTAGAAACTTTAGGTAGTGTTACTGCTTTTGGAAGTGTGACACCTGCTGGTGGTTTCTCAAGGAGATATGAACCTTTAAATCAAACAGGTTTTAGTTTTGGGAGCCAGGTTACAGCAACTAATGAACTATTTGGTCAACAGTCAAGCAGTGTTTGTGCACCTTTTAGTGGTTCAAATTTTGATAGTCTGCAATCATATGGGATGATTCCTAACCATGTAGAGACAACTCAAAATATTTATAGTGGCGGTGGTGGTGGTGAAGTCGGTAGTGATGGTGTTGGTGGTGGAGGTGGAAGTGGTTTCAGTTTTGGATTTCAACAGCCACAGTTACAACAACCTTCAATGGAGAGTTTTGACTCAATTCAGTCTTCTAATGCGGCATGTGGGGGCTTATTCGGGAGTGAGCCAGTAGGTGAAAGAGCTAAGGTAAGTTCTGATACATACCAAGATAAGGATGAAGCATCCCAGAATTTATAACCTCTCAAAACTGACATGCTAAGTGGTGGCTTTAAATATATAGAGGTAGACTACCTGGATACTGTGGATATATTTATTTTCTTGGGTACCAATTTTCGTGGATTAAGGAAAACTTGCATATTCATAGATATTTGATTTAATGGTTTTGCCAAATCTACATGTATGCAAGCTTATAGAAAAATTGTCATTTGTTGAATATTTGAATTTGTGTACATGTTTCACCTGTACCTACCAAACCCATGAAAATTGGCTTCCCATGAATAATAATGAATCCACAGTACTTCATATCTTATATATATCAATGATTTAATTAAGATAGTTTCTTCCTATATATGACCTGTGTCCTTGACCTCATTTTCAGGGTACTGTGACTACTGAGAACTCTGTATAGTTATTTATTACAAGATTTTTTTCAGTTTTTATGAGTAATTGTATATAGAATCATTGCAAAGTATAAATGTCTGTTAAATAAGTTTCATATGAACTTAACCTTATTTTATAGATGAGTGATCAAAGTTAAAATTTTGTTATTTATGTGTCCATTTCCTAAATACTATTTTAAGCAGTAGGTCAACTGTATTTGGTGTATGGAATGCTAACCTGGTACAGTGCCACAATGGTGTATAGTAACAGCACAACATAAGAACAAATTTAAACTGTAATAATCAATTACAAATAGCTTTAAACAAATAATAATGGATGCCTTTCAAACAAGTCTTATACTAGTCCACTTGGAAGTACAAAAACTCTGAGTTAGTTCTTACCTGTCAATAGTTCATTTATTTTCTTACAAAAATTCAAAATAAAGTTATGAATGAGAAAATACATATGGCATTTTTTCGTGAACTTTTTTTTTGTGACATTTTCCCCCTAAATTCATCTTTTCAGTTCTGATGTCAAATTATCGCAAAAAAATATTATCTGTTTTATTTTTTGACATCAATTTTTTTTTAGACTTATTCTCATAATGTTGTTTGTGTTTAATGCTTTTATATTTCATTATATGGCGGGTGTCAAACTGTTGTATTTAATTTTCACTTCAACTAATTATATGTAATATCCTTCTTCAAATTCTAATTATGACATTCTACTTTCACTTGGTGAAGAAAGTCATGTTCTAATTCAAATAAAACATAGAGTGCATTAATTCTTCACAATTAAAAATGCAAAGTCAGTTGAATGTGAGTGTTCCTCACTTACGGAAATAAAATCATTTTAAAAGTAAGATTACATATACATAGACACTATTTAATTGGGAAATGGTTGGTTGCCTGGAAGTTTTGCTTAGAGCTCCACTTTGCTGATAATCATTAAACACACATTTATGGAAAGTTGTCTCATTGGCAATCATACCACATCTTCTTTTTTATATTTATTTAGAATTGTATAGTCTAGAGAATTTAGGATGAAATAATTTCTGTTCAAGGTTGGAAGACGACAAAAGCAATCAGCCAGAAAGTCAACTGGTGGTAAATGTCCTAGAATACAGCTTAGTGGTAAACTAGCATCCACGGAAGCTATGAGAGATGACCCATCTGCCTCATTTATTCAGGTGGTTATTATACCAATTGATACACATAAAAACAAGGATTGAGAATGGAAACGGGGAATGTGTCAAAGAGATAACTACCCAACCAAAAAGCATATAACAGCTGAAGGCCACAAATGGATCTTCAACATAGCAAGAAAATCGTGCACCCGGAGGCAGGCTTTAGCTGGCCCCTTAAAAAAATGTATACTAGTTCAGCAAAAATGGACATCACACTAAACTGCTAGAACATATAAATGAACCAAAATTCAAAAAGCATACATGACTAACAAAGGCCAGATTAAGCCCTGAAATATGTTCATGTGTTTGTCTTCTAACGAATATTATAAGTGGTATTCTGTTTCTATATTGGAATGTTTATGTCTCAAGTCATGAACATCACTAGTAGTATTCTATTGTTATATCAGAATGATTTTGTCCTCTAAAAACTGATGTTGAAATTAGAGTTTTGGTAGTCTTTGTTTAATTCATAATGACTTTTACCACACATTCTTTAGTGGTTGACATATTATATAGACACCTATCTATTGTTAAAAACTATAAGTTGATTTCCCAGATGTGGTTGTGTTATTTGTCACTGTCCATCTGTTACCCATGAAGTTCCGTTGCAATTTTCTCAGGTACAGCAAGTAAGATCTTCCTGTTATCAGTCTTCATATTTCACATGCTATACTGTGTAATTCATTTTCTGATTTATCAATCATCAGCTTCCTGTTTACCAATTACTTGTTCATTCTAACACATAATGACCATGTATGAAATGTTTTAGGGAATTACTGATAAGAACTTCTGAAATTTTGTTGTCAGTATTCATGTTAACATGCTATACCTTAAGCTTGAGATAGGCTTTCAGTCTAACTTTACTTTACTTTAGTCTGTACTGCTCCGCCTATATCAGACAACCCACTTTTCAGTGTGAATTCACATTAAATTGTCCAATAATCCAATGCACTATAATTAATACTTTTATACACAATACCACCACCTCTATTTAAACAGGAAAATATTTACATCCCATTAACATATACAAGAAAGAAACTGGGGCACAAGTCAATTGACCTGTTAAAGTTCATTGCTTCAATTCAAGTTAACACAATGTCCCTGATGAGCACTTTATTTTCTTTAAACTGATTGTTATTAATTGGTTAATTAGTACTACCTCAATAGAGTCGATTGCACATGATATGTAACTTAAAACCTAGTCCTCTGGTGATACACTCCACTGTAAATATTTCAAAACTCTGTGATGTGTTTTCAGATTGATGGCTCATCAACTTCCTTTTAAATGAATACTTTTATTTTCTAACACTCATGCATATTATGGTCGTGTACATGAAATAGTCGTCACATTTTTCTAGGACACTACAAATAAGAGCTTCCTGAAACTTTTTGTCAGTCTTGATAAGAACATGTTTTACAATGTGAAATGTGGTCAGATTCATTGATCTTCAACTACCTGTTTGCTGAGTTCTAAAGTCAGGTGTATCATTAATGAGCAGTAGCTCACAGTTTTTGTCTTGGTGGCAGTGGCAACAATGTATTAGTTTGTGATTAGGTCAAGTTTATGGGTAACCACTAGTGGTAGGTCAATGATATTTGGTATGAAGTTGTATTAACATTGGCACATCTCATTTCCACTGACGAGATTATTTGCCCCTGCGTTCTTGATCAAGGTTCATTGACTTTTTTGCATAACTTATAAATGTTAAAGAAGTATTGCTATTTTAATTTGAATTTCAACATTTGCATTTTACAATTAAAAAAAAACAAAAGGTGAAACATATTGTTGTGTTTGCAGTTTATTCTTGTATTATTACAGCAGGATTTGAATTCAATTGAAAAAGAACAAAATAAAATTCCTTTACCTCATAGAGCAGATAGGTATGGACCAAGGAAGAGTGCTCCTATAGTGGAAGACATTTCTATACCATTTACATCTTCCGAGGAGGAATCATCAGGGGAATCATCTGCAAGTGTAAGTTCATAGTTCACTTCAAAATTCTAATAACCGTTTATTTTATTTTGGTGTAAAACCACTGACAGAAGCACATTTTGTAGAAAGCACACAAGTCTGTATACTTAAGGTTGGTGCATGGTCAAACCTTTTCAACCCAATAAATTTTTTTTTAAAAATACATTTAATTTTTATAAATACATTTGAATGCTGAAGCAGAAAGTTTTTTCTTTGTTTAATTTCAAATAATCCTACTCATTGTTGTAACGTTGTCACTGAGAGCAGATGCAGACACGAATGTTAAGTTTTATATTGGGATATAAATTAACATGTGATCGATGTATGCCAATCAAAATGATAGAATCTCATGAAATATCTATGTTATGTAATGATTGTACAGTATTAAGAAATATAATAAAGACTTAAGTTTCCAGACCATGTGTTATAAACTAAGATCATGATAGATTTAACAAAATATATTTCCTTTTCAGGAGGAGGATTTTAAACATAAGAAATTAACCAATGCCCAAAGTGGTGAAATAAATTTGTCTAATGAGGAATTTGCCATGTGGTGGGCTCCAACCCTACAATCAAAAGTAAGATTAAGGTAGTACATAACACTACAGGGAGATAACTCTGTAAAAAAAAGTCATACAAGTAGGAGGTTTAGCTAGCTATAAAACCAGGTTTAACCCTCCATTTTCTTCGGAAAATACCTGTACATTATTTCAGTTTTTATGGCATTCCCCTTTATAAATTTATGCTGGAGTTTGGTATTTTTGTTATGCTTTATTGGGTCAGACCAAAGACTTAAAAATTGTAATTTGTTGCTTATTTGTCAAGTAGACATAATGCTTCAGTATTGCAATGATTTAAAAAATATGTTTTGTTTGAACATTTTCTGTTCATGAAATTATGCAATTAATGTAAAACTATGGTAACACCTCCCACAGACAAAGTTTACCTTCGATGGTTGTGGCTGTTAAGTCTATAGGCACTGTTTTTATGTTCTCAAAATTTTATAGGTTTTGCTTTCCAAACTTTTGGTCTTGGCTGTATTTAATGAAAGTTATTCCTGAAACGCATAACTCTTAAATGATAAATGGTTAAGGAATAACAGTATTGTTATTGCTATTTTGATGCATTACAAAAAGAAATGATGTGATTAGAGCTCAGGAAAATGTATAAATTTAGAATAATACAAAATTATAAAAAGTTTTGAATGATTATGGCACATCAATGTTATCGCAAATAATTACATCATATCAATGAAAATCTCAAGCTGGAGGTTATTCCATTACTGGTATGCTGTGAATTTCTAATAAAAAGGGGGTTATTAAGGTAGATGGTGTTTTATTAACAATTTTTTTATTGTTTTAGAATAAATCAACATTTGCAGATTTCAGCAAGTCAATATGGCTTGATCCTTAGTTAGAATATGTCAATACGCTTGGTCCTTATCATTTCAATTACCAGATATACTCTTTTACTATACGCTGATTTCTCACATCATTTAATCATTTTATGGGCTAACTGGATCCCTGTATCTTAGAAAACTGATACAGTAATTGTGACTGCTTGACATTTTTCAAACACCAGTCTTTATTTTTATGTACATAATCCAACACTGCATAATGAAATATATTAATTGTATAATTTAAAACAGTTATCGAAGCAGTCATAAGGAAGTTATCCTTATTAGAATATTCATTCCTTAGCTCAACGTACTGACGTAGATTTTATGCCCAACAAACAAACAAATCAAATAACGTCACCTAAAACCCAATACTTTGACTGAAAGATGAAGTTGAGGTCATGTAATGAAAGTAATTATGTGTTTCTATGACTTGCAGAAACTTTATACACCATTTCAATCATCTATTGCCAACTTTTGACATGTTTTTTGCCTTAAAATTAAGAAAAGATTCGTCAAACAACTTCTTTATTTGAGATATACACTTGCATATAGTTCCTTTGTAAATCAATATTTATAATAAATTACTATCTATTAATTCATGTGGAAAAATAATATATCAAGTTTAAGCAGTTGATGAGAATTATGAAAGTATTTTATCAGTGTCTTACAGGGCTTCCAAAAAATATTTGAGCCAGCAGTACATTTTATGTCTGATCCCGATTTTAATCCCTTAAGACTTACAAAAGGCAATTATAGTAATCAGTTGGCCATCATATAACCAATGATTGACATTAAAAAAACGATATTTAACTTTACTTTGATATAAATTCGATGTTCTGACGTAAACTGTTAAAAAATTGACAGTGCATCATTCGAAGTGTGCAACATCAGCGTACTAATATCTGCCTTAGACTCTTTATTTGTGCAAAATAAGGTTGTCAAAAACTTTTTAAAAAGCACATTGTCCTAATACCAGATGTTGACTTGACAATGGTAAAAAATGGACCAGAGACAGATACGTAAAATCCGTGTACATTTAAGCACGATTGAGTTTAAGTAGCTCTTTCCATGTTATTTCTTCAAGAAAATACTCGAAATGAACGTTAGATAAAGGTATCAATGATAATTTTCACATTTTTGAAGAATTAGGATCCATAATTAAATTTCCCACCTGCGCACATGCGCACACGTGTACTAGTTCAAACAACCTGGTTCTGACGATTTTTCGTATAAACCTTTTTAAGTTTTTCATCAAATCATATTTATAAACATATTTCTGATAATTTCAATTTTTTTTGACTAAATTAATTAGATGCAGACCGCTGAAATGTAAGAAAATAACTTTGAATAGAACGATCAATGTCCGGTACAAAATAGTTTACCTGTCGCCTGAACAGGTAAATTTCAGCTGTCTGACAACTAATTAACCTTGATTAAAATGAGAAGGTATTAAAGTAGGGTTTGTTTTGATAGTACTTATTCATCATGTCACTTTTATGACCGGAAATGTGTGGCTGTTTAAAGGCAAAAGGTCGGGTCAAAAAGATCGCGTAAACTTTTTAAATTATGTTAAAATGTATTGACCGTCTCTTAAGAAAGCCTTGAAAACTAAAAGTAGATGTCTGTTTCATGCTTTTCCCAGACGGACAATGTCCAGTAAATTTATAAATGTCCGGAATATATGACCATTTTGGAAGCCATGGTGTCTTATGCTCGTGTAAGTAATTGAATAACAGTACTGTATTTGAAGAGAGTTGCTACCGTCAATTGAAGTTTTGATGGTCGCAAATATCCATTTTACTGGCTCCGATCCTTTTGTCAAATAAAACTTTGCTTTCCGTAAAATCCCCAATTGATGGTGGCAACTCTTCAAATACAGTACTGTTATCTGTATTTATCTTTTTAGCTCACCTGGCCCAAAGGGCATTGTGAGCTTTTCTCATCTTGGCATCTGTCATCGTCCGTCGTCATTTACTTTTACAAAGTAATCTTCTCCTCTGAAACTACAGAGACAAATTTAACCAAACTTGGCAATTATCATTAGGGTATCTAGTTTAAAAAATGTGTCCGATGACCCTGCCTGCCAACCAACATGGCCGACATGGCTAAAAATAGAACATAGAGGTAAAATGCAGTTTTTGGCTTTTAGAGCAAAAATGTTCATCAGGTTTAGATCTATCTACCCTGAAATTTTCAGACGAATCAGACAAGCTACCCCTGAATTGGTAATTTTAAGGAAATTTTGCAGTTTTTGGTTATTATCTTGAATATTATTATAGAAAGAGATAAACTGTAAACAGCAATAATGTTCAGCAAAGTAAGATCTACAAATAAGTCAACATGACCAAAATGGTTAGTTGACCCCTTAAGTAGTTATTGCCCTTTATAGTCAATTTTTAACAATTTTTGTAAATTTTTGTAATCTTTTACAAAAATCTTCTCCTCTGAAACTACTGAGACAAATTTAACCAAACTTGTCCACAATCACCATTAGGTTATCTAGTTAAAAAAGTGTGTCCGATGACCCTGCCTGCCAACCAACATAGCCGACATAGCAAAAAATTGAACATAGGGGATATAATGCAAGTCTATTATTTTTGAAAACCATTATAAAGAGAGAAAATCTGACAAGAGCAAAAATGGTCAGAATGTTGAGCTCTACCAATTGTCCGTACATGTCAAGACTGTCAGATGACTTCTTCTAGGAGTTATTGCCCTTAAATGACAAATTTAACATTTTTTTTCATTTTTGCCTTCTATCTTGAAAACTATAATAGATACAGAGAAACTTTAAAATGATCAACAAGACAAGTTCTACAAATAGGTCAACATGGTCGAAATCGTCAATTAGAGTTTTTGCCTTTTGATGATGATTTTGACCAATTTTTTGCGTTTTTGTCTTATATCTTAAAATTATAATAGACAGATAGAAACTTAGCTAGACAAAAATGATCAGCAAAACAAATTCTACAATGAAGACAATATGGAGGAAATGGTCAGATGACTCCTTATTAGAGTTATTGCCCTTTAAGGACGATTTTCACCTTTTTTTTTAGTTTTGCCATATATGATAGAAACTTATAATAGATAAAGATACACTTTAAATCACAAAAATGATCAGCAAGTCAAGATCAACTAACAAGTCAAATTTTGCCGATATAGTTTAGAAAACTGTCACTCTTTATAGGAGTGATTGCCCTCAAATGAGGATTTTTTTTATCCTCTTTTGTGTTTTGAGCAAAAACTAAAGAAGATAGAGAGAAACTAAATAGGCTAAATTATCAGCAATACAAGATCAACAAAACAGATTTTTGTCATGAATTCTATTCCTGTCTACAATGTTGGAGATGGTCTTTTGTTGAATATGCACATAGACCAAGGTGAGCGACACAGGCTCTTTAGAGCCTCTAGTTTGTTTTATTAATGAGCAGAGGAATCACCTCAAGTTCAAGTCTGATTTCTGATTTACATTATCTTTCTCTTTATAGGACAAATACCAAAGTCCAGGATTCTCTTTTAATACAGCAGGGAAGTCCATAGGAGGTTCTGCTCCAGCAATTACAAAACCTAAATCAGCTGTACTTGATCAGGTACACCATGGGTTTCTTTTCCATTCACTGCAGTTATAGTAATGTCTTATTCTTTTTTTCTTAACTCAAAATGAATATTGAAGATTGCATGGACAGTGTATCATGTCAGGAATCTATAATGAGAATTTCTTTGTAAAAGATAGTTGTTTTGCTGTATTTACATCCCATCGTAAGAAGTTGTTGCTTAGGTATATTGTTTTTATCCTGGGCTGCTTTAGTCTTTCAGTCAAATTTAGGTTCTGGGCGAAGGCTTAAGTTTTTTTGGGGATTTGAATACAAAAATTGCATAGATTGTCACATACAGAAAGAGGGCAATCCTTATCAGTTTTGAGGTCAACTTGTTAAAGGTAAAAGTCACAGGTACTTCAGAAAGACCTAAACAAATGCAGAAAATGGTTTTCGAGATGATAATTGGAATTGAAAGCAAATGGATGTATTTTTCCATCTAAGGAGGAGAAGACCCCTATAAATTATGAAGGTAACTTGTCCAAGGTCAAGGTCACAGAACTAAAAATAGTCCAGAATTAGTGCAAATGGGGCTTCTTGATGACAACTCAAGAATCATACTTGAGATTAGAACTAAGTCTAGGTTAGTCTTTGAAAAGGTATATACTATGAAATTTAGATAGTATATACCTTTTCATAGACTATCCAATTTAGCACATATTTACAACTCGAGTAATCATTTAATTGGTCTATTGATAGTTTATTTTGGCTGACTACTTGTATCACAGGTGTTTGTAAAACGGGGCTCATTAACGATGTTTTGTAAATCTAATCACTAGTATCATGGTAAAATATGTGATTTCAAAAGGCCCTTGACTCCAGAATGAAAAGATGGTAGCTGCTGGTGTAAGTATGTTTATTGATAAAAAGCGGTGTTTTACTATACATGTACTTCTTTACATGGTAAGATGACAAAATAAATTGACCAAAAGCAGGCAATAATTAAATTGCAGTGGAAGCTTTTCAATTTCACAGTAAAACTAAAGCTATGATAAATTTGAAACATATAGATAGTATGCAGTGACGGATCCAGGGGGGGGGGGGGGGTCCGAGGTGGAAAACCCCCTTCTGGACAATCAATGCTTTTGAATGGGGTCATATGGTTGTAATCCCTTTTTAAAAAAGACTGGATCCGCCCCTGGTATGTCCCAATAGGTAGTCTAGCGGATAGTCATTAAAAAGCAACTACCAATAGATCAAAGATACAAGGGTTTATGTTTTTTTTTTTTTATTTCAAAGTAAAAACTTAAAGATTTATCAAAACATGTATATATATATATATAGGTGGCACATTCTCTCCAGACATTCCTGAACATCTCCTGAACATGCATGAAATATTTGCCACTGGACATTAAGCAACCAATAATCAATCAATCAATCAATTCATGACGAAATAGATCAAGTTGCCTTAATTTCCCTTCACAAGATTTCATAGTACAGACTTTTTTGTGTACAGAGTAATTGCATGGATGATAAATTATCACAATTTTAAGATGGTGTTGTACACTAATCAAGGTATAAAGAACCATATTTGTTACTCTTTATTTAAATGAAAGAAACTTGCAATCATCAAAAACATTTTTTTAGATCCAAAGATTTTAATTGCAGAATATTTAAAAATCAATGTGAAAACTAATTACAAACTATTCAATTTAATTTGGAACACAGCATTTTATTTCAAAATAGCCAGTGGCAATTTTTGTTTTAATATCTTGATTACGATACAATGAAATCTTACCCTTGTGGTCATTCATGCGTAGTTACTTAGTACACGGAAAAAGTATGTACTATGAAAATTAGAAGGCAAATTCAAGCAATATGATTGGACAAGATGTTGTAAGTATGTGCTAAATTAAAGTATATGGTCTGATGTAATTAGAGAAAGATCAATATTGATTTAAGGTCAACACCTGAAAGGTCAATGTCACATGCAAATATTAGACTTAAATAATTTGCCATACATAAAAGGAAGATTTTCATTAATTTAGAGGTGAATACTTTTATGGTCAAGGTCAAAGATATAAAAAATGGTAAAAATGAAAATTTCAAGATGTCAATTGGAACCTTGATATTTTAAACTATGATACAATAGCTATATATATATATATAGGCTTTCTTTTTGTTATTTTGGTAATTTTTTTATTTTCTTCACTGATTTAAAATTGTTAGCTGCGATTTGTGTTCCCACGTGCACATACACAACATAAGATTTCAGGTAAATGACTTGATTTGTAAAATACAAGCATGGTAGTTTCATAAATTAAGTTTGCATGATACATGAATATCTATTAAAATCAGAAAGCTTTAATGTCTACCTGACTTTTACCCCACATATCTTTTATTGCTATGTCTTGATTTATTTATAGACAAAGTCACTAGCATTGGCAAATATTGAACTTTATGGAAGTGAAAGACGCGAGCAATTCAAAGCAACAGAAGTTCTTGACAAAGAGGTATTGTTTGAAAAGTTAGACTAGTGTTTATGCTATTAAAGATATATTGATTGAGATGAGTCAGGGTATTTTTGCAATCATAAACTGACATTAGTCAACTATACATTGGTTGAGATGTGTCAGGTTATTGCATGCAATCAATGACTAACACAAGGCAAAAATATATTGGTTTAAATGTGTCAGAGTATTGTTTGGAAGCATAGACTTATTATACCCCACGCAAAATATTGCGTCGGGTATAATGTTTTTGACCTGTCCGTCTGTCTGTCCGTCAGTCCTGTTCTTGTCATCGCAACTCCTCTGAAACCACACAACAGAATTTCATGAAACTTTGTAGATAATAAGGACATACTATGTAGATGTGCATATCGAAAGGAAATTATGATTAAATTTTTTTTCTAGGAGTTATGCCCCTTTGAACTTATTGGCCTCAATATACTACTGCAACAGTTTGTCATCGCAACTCCTCTGAAACCACACAACAGAATTTCATGAAACTTTGTAGATAATAAGGAGTCATTAAGGACATACTATGTAGATGTGCATATCGACAGGAAATTATGATTCAATTTTTGTCTCACCTTGACAGAGTCAAAAAGCGAGATTATTTGGCCCTGCTCCCTCAGTCATGGTCTATTGACTTTGAAACTTTTGCTTAGTTTACATGTATTAGTTTGTGATTAGGTCAGTTTATGGGGAACCACTAGTGGTAAGTCAATGATATTTGGTAATTGCAGTTGTATAAGCATTGGCATATCTCATTTCCATGGAGATTATTTGGCTCCGCCCCCTCAGTCATGATCTATTGACTTTAAAACTTTTGCTTAGTTTGCATGTATTAGTTTGTGATTAGGTCAGTTCAAGGGGAACTACTAGTGGTAAGTCAATGATATTTGGTATGCAGTTGTATAAGCATTGGCATATCTCATTTCCATGGAGAATATTTGGTCCCGCCCCCTCAGTCATGGTCTATTGACTTTGAAACTTTTGCTTAGTTTACATGTATTAGTTTGTGATTAGATCAGTTTAAGATGATCGGCTAATGTTAAGTCAATGATATTTGGTATGCAAATTTATTGGCATTTGCAAGTCTCGTTTCCATGGAGATTATATAGCCCCTGCACCACCTCATCATGGTTCATTGACTTTGAAACTTTTACATAGTTTACAAGTCAATGTTTGTGTTTAGGTTTGTTGAAAGGGAACGACTTATGATAAGTCTATGGTATTTGGTTTGCAGTTGTATTAGCATTGGCACATCTCATTTCCATGGAGATATTTTTGCCATGTACCTTCAGTCAGGGTTCATTGACTTTGAATATTTGCATAACTTACATGTTAAAGTATTGCTATTTTAATTTCAACATTTGCATTATCAAAAGGTGAGACATATCTCTGTGTTAACAGTTTATTTTATAGGAGTTATGCCCCTTTGAACTTATTGGCCTCAATATACTACAGTCCGTCAGTCCTGTTATTGTCATCGCAACTCCTCTGAAACCACACAACAGAATTTCATGAAACTTTGTTGATAATAAGGACAAACTATGTAGATGTGCATATCGACAGGAAATTATGATTCAATTTTTTTTCTAGGAGTTATGCCCCTTTGAACTTAGAATTTTGACCTAAATATACTACCTCTGAAACCACACAACAGAATTTCATGAAACTTTGTAGTTAATGTTAATGTGCATATCCACAAGAAAATTTTTATCGGTTAACTTTTGTAGAGTTATGAGTCTTTGGACCTAGGAATCTGGTGAGATTTTGTTTGTCCAGTGACAATGTGGGGGTGTGGGGTGTGTGAGCGTGCTCACAAAGGTTCTTTAATTATAGATAAACATATATTGGTTGACTTGTGTCAGGTTATTGTTTGCAGTCATAGATTTACAATTGGCAAAGACATATTGGTTGACTCGTGTCAGTGTACTGTTTTCAATCATAGACTCACAATAGGCTAAGATATATTGATTGAGATGTGCCAAGGTAATGTTTGCAACTATAGTCTTACAAAAGGCAAACATAGAATTGACATTTGTCAAGTTGTTGTCTGCAATCATAGTTTCAAAAAAGGAAAATGTATACTGGATTAATTCTTGTCAAAGAAGTACTGGTTGACATGTGTCAGGTTATTTTATTGCCTGCAATCTATTGATTTATTCTTGGCAAAAAGAGTATTGGTTAACATGTGTCACATTATTTTATTGTCTGCAATCTATAGATTTATCCTGGGCAAAAAAGTATTTGTTAACATGTGTCCAGTTGTTTTATTGTACGCAATCTATAGATTTTTCCGGGGCAAAAAAGTACTGGTTAACATGTGTCAGGTTAATATTTAATTTCTGCAATGTATCGATTTATCCTGGTAAAAAAAGTATTGGTTGACATGTATCAGGTTATCTTATTGTCTGCAATCAGATTTACCATGGGCAAAGAAGTACTGGTTGACATGTGTCAAGTTTTTTTATTATCTACAATCATATTTACCATGGGAAAAGAGGCATTGGTTGATGTATGTGTTACTAATTGTCTGCAATCATGATAGATTTACCCTGGGCAAAGAAGTATAGATTCACATGTGTCAGGTTAATTTTATTGTCACAATCATAGATTTATCCTGGGCAAAGTAGTATTGATTGATATGTGTCAGCTTATTGTATTATCTATAGTCAGATTTACTATGGGCAAAGAGGCCTGGTCAGCACATGTCTTGTCATTTTAATGCCTGAATTTATAAATTACCATAGGAGAAGGTTTATTTGTTGGTAATTATCAGAATATATTATATTGTGTTTTTTCATAAAACTTACCAAATTATGTTCAGCTTTTTGTATATTATATATCATTGCAATTACAAGCATTTTACAAAAGCTATTACTTTGCAATTACCATGATGCAATGTTACCAACATTGCAACCCAATTGAGGCTTACATGAATTGAAAATGAAGTCACAAATTGAATTGTTTGATGTATTTATTACAGACAATAAACAAAAAAAAAATATATCAGAATCAGAAATGAAACGAAACCTTTAACCTTTACCAATGCTTAAGGGCTTAGTTTGAAGATTACAGTGTTTCTTTACTGTAAATTCAGAAATGTTTGTAATGGTGAAAAATGTAATGGGATTAATATTGCATTACTAGTAAAAATTAAAATAACAAAAATACCGAACTCCAAGGAACAGTCCACATGGAAAGTCCCTTATCAAATGGCTAAATCAAAAGCTCAACCACATCATACGAATGGAAAACAACTGTCATATTCCTGACTTGGAAAAGGCATTTCCTTAATTGAACTCATGTACAAAAATTTTAATTCCATTATATCTGTGCAGCTAATTTCCAAGTCAAATTTCACATAATCAATTTTACAATTTTGACATTAATTTGAATAGAAACTGCACACAAAAATATCTGTGTGAAAAGTAAAAATATATTTTGTATTTCACTAATGCAGAAATAACTCAAAATTACTACAGTACCTAAACAAAATCTGAAATTATGATTAAAGCTCAAACATGTTTGTTCACTGATAACGATCATCAAAGGTGTTAATTGGGTCATAAACATGTCACTTAAAGGAAACGGTTATATAAAACAATGCTACAAATGTACTTTGAATTGTAGAATTATTCTTATGAAATGAAAAAGCAAGCCCAATATAAATTATAATTTTTTTTCGTATGAGAATTATGAGGAGATAAAATGAACACTTTATCATCACATGTCATTACCGGGAAATCTGACTTTCATCAATCAAAACTAATTTTTTCATGAGATGTAAAAGGTGAAAAGTCATACAGTTTATATTTTTCAAAGATTAAACAGGTAAAATCCTGTCGGGAGTTGTATATTTAGTTCATAGTGCGTTTGCTGAAATTCAATGTATTCTCTAGATTATATGCCCATATCCATGTAGTCAAACCTACATGGGGATCTTGCCATGCCTTGATTGGACAACAGTTGTTAAATTCGTGGATGAAGCCATCCTGTGTGTACTTTTCCCCATATGTATAGCCTTCCATCTTAATCTGGTTCTCTCACTACCTTATCAAACTTCAGTGACTTAAGTTTTAAGGATTCTAGGTAACCTTCAATAATATACTGTAAATCAAAACAATTTTGTAAACAGTTGATTTACAATTGCTTCTAGAGTATAAAAATACATTTGTAGCAGTTATGTTAATACAAATTGTTGCGTAAATGTCTTATGTTGGTCCTCTCTTTTATGATTACATCAACAAAGACAGGTAAACTAGATAAGCTGGTTAGAAACAATCAAAACCATGCAATCAAATATTTAAATAATACAATTACAATGTATTACTCAATCCACAGAGATTGATATCCACGAAAATAAATTAATCTATAGTACTTTGATTTACAATTCAAGTTTCTGTCAATTTGGTAAAGGTTTAAGTCCAAGTTTATAAGTTTGTGTTAACTAGATAAGCTTCAATAATAAAAATTGGTTAAAGATGGCATTTAAGAGGGTTGAAAAGTTTTTCTGCTGAAATTAAGTCACTCTGACCTACATTATATGCATCAGTGACTTTTTAATTGTCACATTTAAGTTCTGTGAATGCAATAGTTGTTGCATGCTTGTATAAAATTTAAAGGATACAGTGCAAACATATTACACATATTTTAAAACAAAATGCATTTGTAATCTAAGAAGGTCTAGATGGGGGTCCGTCATTTCTTAATTCTCGAATTTTAAAACAATTTTCTCAAAACTTATCTTTTTTGTCCATTATACTCTATTCTTTATATTTTAACACATAATTTTTTATTTTTATGCCCCCCTTTACAACTTTGATAGAAATAATTGTTTTGAAGTGGGTACTAAATTGACTTCACAATTGTTTTAGAGTTGCGTGTGTTTGAAGCATATTTTTACATTTCCTCTTTTTTTTATAACAATGGTCCGAAAACGAAAACTGTTGTTATGACACAAATGTTCAAAAGTCGGACAAATCTTTGACTTTAAACTTTATCCTTTTACTTTGATAGAAATAACTGTTTTGAAGTGGGTACTTTACAATCATTTTAGCCAAGCATGTGTTTGAAGCATAGTTTTATGTCTCGACTTTTTCTTTTGACAATGGTCTGGAAAAGAAAACTGTTGTCCTGAAGAAATGTATTCAAAAATAAGAAAAATCTCTGACTTTAGTCTTTATCCTTCAATTATATGGGAAGTGTCAAGTCAAAAATTGTGATTTCATGATCTATATTGCAATTTTACAGTATATTTTAAAAAGAAAATGTTTGTTATTATTGAGTGTCTATTTATTACAAGGTCTATTAAAAAATAGATATGAAGAATTATAATAGACAACAATGTGGCAAACAGATTTTTATACGACCGCAAAAAAATTTTGTGGTCGTATATTGGTATGACGTTGGCGTCGTTGTCATCGTCATCGTCGTCGTCCGAAGACACATTGGTTTTCGCACTCTAACTTTAGTTTAAGTGAATGGATCTCTATGAAATTTTACCATAAGGTTCAATACCACAAAAAGAAGGTTGGGATTGATTTTGGGGGTTTTGGTACCAACAGTTAAGGAATTAGGGGCCAAAAATAAGCATTTTTGTAACTTCCAGACATAACTTGTGTGTTAGTGTATGGATCTCTCTGACATTGTACCACAAGGTTCCATATCACAAAGGGAATGCTGGGATTGATTTTGGGGGTAATGGCCTCCAAATTTTAGGAATTAGGGTCAAAAAAAGGGGCAAAAAACAAGCAGTTTTCTAGTTTCATGATAATAACTTGTGTGTAAGTGTATGGATCTTTCTGAAATTGTACTTCAAGGTTCCATATCACAAAGGGAAAGCTGGAATTGAGTTTGGGGGTAATTGCCCAAAAGGTTTAGGGATAAGGGGCCAAAAAGGGGCCAAAAATAAGCGTTTTTCTAGTTTCCAGACAATAACTTGTGCTCAAGTGTATGGATCTCTCTGAAATTGTACTGCAAGGTACCATACCACAAAGGGAAGGCTGGGATTGATTTTGGGGGTAATTGCCTCAAAATTTTAGGAATTAGAAGCCACAAAGGGGCAAAAACAGGCATTTTTCTAGTTTCAGGACAATAACTTGTGTGTAAGTGTATGGATCTTTATGAAATTGTACTACAAAGTTCCATATCATAAAGGGAAAGCTAGGTTTGAGTTTAGGGGTAATTGCCCGAAATGTTTAGGAATTTGGGGCCAAAAAGGGGCATAAAAACAAGCATTTTTCTAGTTTCCAGACAATAACTTGTGTTCAAGTGTATGAATCTCTCTGAAATTGTACTGCAAGGTACCATACCACAAAGGGAAGGCTGGGATTGAGTTTGGTGGTGATTAATCATAAGGGGGTTCAAAAAATTTGGGGGAGGGATTTTTTTTTTCTTTAAAATTTTCCATTTTTAATTTGTTATTTCTGATTTATATATAAAAGCAAATAATAATGATATGGTTTGAATAGGATAGACTTAGACCACATTCATTCTGTGTCAGAAACCTATGCTGTGTCAAATATTTAATCACAATCCAAATTCAGTGCTGTATCAAGCTTGAATGTTGTGTCCATACTTGCCCCAACTGTTCAGGGTTTGACCTCTGCGGTCGTATCAAGCTGCGCCCAGCGGAGCATTTTATTTTTGTTGTTGGAATTTTAAACGTAAAATATGTTTATTTGTTGGGGCGAAAAATATATTGTTTTGGCGAAAGAGGTGCAAGCGAAAAAGAAAATTGAGCCACGGGAAACCCTGTCCTGCACTATTTGCCCATTCTATTCTGTTAACCCAATCCAGACATCATCTAAGTGATATATCTAATAACATCTGTAGGAATCTGAATTAAATGAATGGTTAGCAGAACAGCTAGAACCTGACAAAGATAGTAGTAAAACCATAATGCCTGCTAGATCTGGTGACAAAGGTTCTGGAATATTATTAGCTACTAAGGCTGCTAGGAAAAGTACCCCTACAACTGGAGATGTAATAACAACTAAGAGAACTAGGAGGAAAGTTTTTACCCAGTTAGCAACCAAGGCTGCAAGAAAAAGTGCTCCAGGAACAGGAGGTGAACCTTTGCCAGAGGTAATTAATTTCATTAATGTATCTTGTAGAGTGGCAATTTTAGTTTTGCCAGCAACATTCATCACTTTAAGTGAGACATGGATGTTACATTTCTTCAACAGTGTTTAGGGAATAGATATAGTTTCAAGAGAACTGACTATTGTTAAGATTATTTAAATTCAACATCCTGTGGTTAATTTTTTGTAAAAGTATAAAAAGTATTAATAATTGTTTTTAAATTTAAGTTTTCCAAATGATATATTTACTTTTCAAATTTCCATTATTAAAGAAACTATAATCCTTTAGAACTTTTTAGATACAGTGATCTTCCCATTGAATAATTACATCTGCCATATTGTTATGCAAAAACTTATATACAAGACACACAATTTATTTCCTGAAGTGAAATTGTACTTTTCATATGGCCACATAAAATTGTTTGCATCCGTATAATGCTATCATGTCGTTGGCGTTGGTGTCGGCGTGGTCAATCAAAGACACATTTGGTTTCCTGACAATAACTTAAGTTTAAGTGAGAATGGATCTCTCTGAAATTTTGCCAGAAGGTTCAAAACCACTAAAGGAAAATTGAGATTGATTTTGGGGGTTATGTTACCAACAGTTTAGGAATTTTAGGCCAATAAGGGGTAAAAAACAAGCACTTTTGTAGTTTCAGGACAATTACTTGTGTGTAAGTGTATGGATCTTTCTGAACTTGTACTACATTTACAAGGTACCATACCACTAAGGGAAGGCTGGCTGGGATTGAGTTTGGGGGTAATTACTATAAGGTGGGGTTCAAAATAATTGTTTAGGAATTTTAGGCCAAACATTGGCAAAAAAACAAGCATTTTTGTAGTTTCAGGACAATCACTTGTGTGTAAGTGTATCGATCTCTCTGAAATTGTACCACAAGGTCCATATTTCAAAGGGAAGGCTGGGATTGAGTTTTGGGGTAATTGCCCAAAACGTTCAAGAAAAAGGGGTCAAAAAGGGGCCAAAAACAAACATTTTTCTAGTTTCCAGACAATAACTTGTGTGTAAGTGTATGGATCTTTCTGAACTTGTACTACATGTACAAGGTATCATACCACTAAGGGAAGGCTGGGATTGAGTTTGGGGGTAATTAATCCAAGGTGGGATTCAAAATAATTGTTATGGGGGCGGTATTTTTTTTTACATATTTTTTTTTTCATTTTTCCATTGATTATTTCTGATTTATATATAAAAGCAACAAATACTGATATGACAGGAGATACACACCAAACAGGATGTGTAAATTATTATATATAACAGATTAACTAAGTATTATTAAATATTCGAAAGAAACCAAAAGAAGTAAATTTAGGAATTCGATATACCAGATAAAAGATAACCCAAATTCATTGAAATCACTCGTAATATTTCCAATGACTCCAGATTACCTTCATTATACAAATCTAGACATATTGTAAGACAAACTAATAGATAATCATAATAAAAAACAACAAATAATAAGTTTGAATTTTGGCAATTTTTTGTCATGGATTTATTAGGACAGTTCAACTATGTATCAACCGGCCAACGAATTTGCATTCATTGACAATGTCTCATTAATGTCCAAGATAAAAACATTGAAGGGCAACCATCATATGTTTTCTCCAAATGGCAAGTGGGCTACCATACGCCAACTGTGATAAAATCAGCCTTTCAGTAAAACTATGTACTCGGGTAACATTCTGTCCAATCCATCACGCTTCTTTTGACAATATCTGAAAATATACAACAAACAGCAGAAAAATATTCTCAAGGGTGGGATAGGGTGGGTTTTTGTGTTCCTTCAAATCAAATCACACAATGAAAAAATCACGAAAAGCATACGCCAACTGTGATAAATTCAGCCAAATGCTAGCAAACTCCATTTGTTAGCATCGCCAAACAAAATTTATCAATCCATGAAAAAAAAAAAAAAAAAATAAATCTAACACACAAAACAAATTCTGAAATTACATAGGTTTTCAACTCAACCATATCAATTCAACGTAGTATATGAACCATACTATACAATAGTTCAACGTAGTATAACAACCATACTATACAACAGTTCAACGTAGTATATCAACCATACAAAACTACTGTTCAACATAGTATATCAACCATACTATACAATAGTTCAACGTAGTATAACAACCATACTATACAATAAATAGTTCAACGTAGTATAACAACCATACTATACAACAGTTCAACGTAGTATATCAACCATACAAAACAACTGTTCAACGTAGTATATCAACCATACTATACAATAGTTCAACGTAATATAACAACCATACTATACAACAGTTCAACGTAGTATATCAGCCATACTATACAACAGTTCAACGTAGTATAACAACCATACTATACAACAGTTCAACGTAGTATATCAACCATACTATACAACAGTTCAACGTAGTATATCAACCATACTATACAACAGTTCAACGTAGTATATCAACCATACTATACAATAGTTCAACGTAGTATATCAACCATACTATACAACAGTTCAACGTAGTATATCAACCATACTATACAATAGTTCAACGTAGTATATCAACCATACAAAACAACTGATCAACGTATTTTATCAACCATACTATACAACAGTTCAACATAGTATAACAACCATACTATACAACAGTTCAACATAGTATATCAACCATACAAAACAACTGTTCAACTTAGTATAACAACCATACTATACAACAGTTCAACGTAATATAACAACCATACAAAACAACTGTTCAACTTAGTATAACAACCAGACTATACAACAGTTCAACGTAGTAAATCAACTATACTATACAACAATTCAACAAAGTATATCAACTATACTATGCAACAGTTCAACGGAGTATATCAACTATAAGCAATGTGTACAATTCAACATTTATTCACTTGTGCATTTACAACTTACAACAATTGTATATTCAACAGAACTGTTCAACTTAATGCATGTTTATAGCAACTGATAAATTTTTTAACTAAATTATAAAGATGAAACAATAGTCCAAATGTCATTTTTAGCTGAAACCAAAATTAAATATTAGGAATTCTAATGTAGCTCTGGAATGACAACGACATCCAGCGACCAATGGTTTTTATCTGATTTTCAGATTTACCAGACATAAAGACTGATGTCGCTGCTCCTATTCTAAAAGAATGGGCATTAAATCTAGATGTGTCTAAACTCAAAAACTGGAGTCCTCTGTTTAAAACAGTCTGAAACTGAAATCTTGTCAAGGATTTCCCATTAATATGTACAAAAAAAGAGGACCGTCATTTCCAGGTCTAATTTTCAAAAAAGCTTTCAAACTATGTAGAGGACAAATCTCATTTGATTTATTTTTATCAACAACTAAAGTAGTGGATCTCCCTTATTTGATCAGTTTTTAAAAAAATTTTTAGTAACAAACCGCTGATTTTTCTTACATGGTCAATATCAACATCTCTCCTATGTTAAACATGTTCTTGTATAACATTTGATGAAGTGGCAAATTCACCCACACGTAAAAATGCAGCAAAAGCGAAGTTAATTGCTGTTTGAAACATTATGGTTTCATATCTAGAAGGGCAAACGTGCCTCAAAGCCACATTAAATCTGATTAAAATATCAATATTTAATGGTACCCTGAGATCTTTAGACTTGTAAAGTCTATCACAACCACCCAAAAATTTCTGAATGGTATAAGATTTAGTTAAATCTTCATGACCTTGAATTTTAAAATTGTAACTTATATGATCTAATTGTAGATGAATAATAATGATTGACAAAAAACCAATATAACGAATAATTTGTCTGTTACTTGGTGGCCAACAAAGTGGAATACAATATTCCATCCTGAACATATTGAACGAACGCATTGCATATTCATAAACGTTTTTCGTACTTTGAGAAATTGATTAGTTCAACAATTTTGAAGCTTCTACATCAAAATATCTAAGAATTCTTGTGGAATAGTCTGTGGCGTCGTATTGGCATTGCTTGTTACTTCATCTGTCCACGAGATAAAGCATCAACAATAAAATTGTCTTTTGAAAAATATGCAACGTTTTAAACTGAAAATTGAATATTAATGTCCACAAACTATTTTTTAACAAAAACATAACCCTTTCATTTTTTGAAGATTTTGTATTTTAAATTGTAACAACAGCCATATTATCACAATGGAAAATCATCATCTTATTTGTAAATCTTGCTTTCCATAAAAAGATGGCCAAAGCAATAGGTATTGTTTCCAAACAAGTAATGTCACTTAATAAAAATTTGTCCCAATTATATAGCCATTGTAAAAATGCCCAGGACCCATCTTAATAAACTGCACATCCCAATGAAAAACAACCTGCACTGTCAGTATACAAATGTAAATCAGCATTAGAAGAGAGTTCATTTACATTAATCCGAGATGTTCCTCTAGCCTAAATATTAAACTTGTCTGGATGTAGTTAAAAACAATATGTAAATTATCTTTTGTTAAAACCTCCTTTTGGGTTTTGTCTATTAGCAGAGTTGTTTAGCAAAGGTGCAATGTCATTCCTATTAAACCTAGATGAACCTGTATCAACTTCATTGTCCATAAACCGATGACATCTTAAAGCAGAATGATCAAAACCACATTTGAGACATGCATGTCTGTACTGGCAATTGAGTTTATTGCAAAAACCTTTAAAATTAAATTGTAGCATTTATAACTAACATTAGCTTGTTGTTTTTGAGTATTGGCAGTTAAAATACGTAGCCACAAAAAACCATCTATGGATGACCCTTTTTTTGTATGATCCTTTGATACCTTTAAACGGAATTGTTGGTCATAAGAATACCATTTTTCAACAGGATGATCAGCCGCTGCACCCCTTATTATGGATATATACAAGAAAAGTTCACTTGCCTTTCCAGGATACCTTTCGATAAGGACCTGGGCATAGGCAATAAATGAATCAGTCCAATCTTCAACAGAATTAACAGTATGGGTTTTTTATTTAACTTTGTTTTGAATAACCAGCATACCGTTATTAATGCCAATTGTGTTTTCATTATTTGTTTGGCTGTTAAAATTGTTACGGTGCATAAGAGACAAATCAATGTACTCAAAATTCCAAATTTTATCCTTAAGTTTTTGGCTTATAAATAATATTTCAACTTCATTAAAGCCAGGTAACATTAGGTGTTCATCAAAAACTTCATTAACCTCACCTAAGGCAGCTAGTTGCAGCTCATTCACTTGAATGTCTACATCAGGGTGCATGGCAACTAATTTGGGTTCATCAACCCACCGTCTTCTTTCTAAAGGTGCTTCTTGCTCTACATCAGCTGGAGGACGCCTTCTCACATTCCTGACAACTAGTTGTGGCTGTTGGACTTCCCTAGGAGCCCTCCTAACCCGTAGTTGCCAACCTCCAACCTGGTCCTGTCGGCGACGCCTACCTCTACCTCTTGGCATTGTTATAAACTTTTATAATTATAAAGACAGATTAGATACATACATGAAGTCTTTAATGTCCAGTACATATTTAAAAATTTAAATTACAACTTAAGATAACTTACTCAACTTCAAATAAATTGAAATACCAATATATTTACACAGTACGTAGTCTTAAATAAACTTTTAATACATGTTAATGCATTAAAACAATTGAAGTTGATTATAAATGCATTAAAACAATTGAAGTTGATTATAAAAACATAACTAAAAACAGCTACAATATGTGCTTTTTAACAAAATAAAACATCGTTTATTAACAGTTTAGTTCCTTCTATTACCAAGCTTATAGCTTAATTAAATTATGTATCCGCGAATTTTTATACGACAGCAAAAAAATTTTAGTTTTCAGTTTTAGTCGTATATTGGTATGACGTTGGCGTTGTCTTCGTTGTCATCGTCGTCGTCCGAAGACACATTAGTTTTCGCACTCTAACTTTAGTTTAAGTAAATGGATCTCAATGAAATTTTACCATAAGGTTCAATACCAAAAAAGGAAGGTTGGGATTGATTTTGGGGGTTATGGTACCCACAGTTAAGGAATTAATGGCCAAAAAGGGGCCAAAAATAAGCATTTTTGTAACTTCCAGACATAACTTGTGTGTAAGTGTATGGATCTCTCTGACATTGTACCACAAGGTTCCATATCACAAAGGGAATGCTGGGATTGATTTTGGGGGTAATTGCCTTCATATTTTGGGAATAAGGGGCCAAAAAGGAGCAAAAAACAAGCATTTTTCTAGTTTCATGACAATAACTTGTGTGTAAGTGTATGGATCTTTATAAAATTGTACTACAAGGTTCCATATCACAAAGGGAAAGCTGGAATTTAGTTTGGGGGTAATTGCCAAAAACGTTTGGGAATAAGGGGCCAAAAAGGGGCCAAAAATAAGCATTTTTCTAGTTTCCAGACAATAACTTGTGTTCAAGTGTATGGATCTCTCTGAAATTGTACTGCAAGGTACCATACCACAAAGGGAAGGCTGGAATTGATTTTGGGAGTAATTGCCTCAAAAATTTAGGAATAAGGGGCAAAAAAGGGGCAAAAAAACAAGCAATTTTCTAGTTTCAGGACAATAACTTGTGTGTAAGTGTATTGATCTTTGTGAAATTGTACTACAAGGTTCCATATCACGAAGGGAAAGCTGGGTTTTAGTTTGGGGGTAATTGCCCTAAACATTTAGGAATTTGGGGCCAAAAAACAAGCATTTTTCTAGTTTCCAGACTATATTGTGTTCAAGTGTATGGATCTCTCTGAAATTGAACTGCAAGGTACCATACCACAAAAGGAAGGTGAGGATTGATTTTGGGGGTTATGGTACCAACAGTTAAGGAATTAGGGGCCAAAAATAAGCATTTTTGTAACTTCCAGACATAACTTGTGTGTTAGTGTATGGATCTCTCTGACATTGTACCACAAGGTTCCATATCACAAAGGGAATGCTGGGATTGATTTTGGGGGTAATTGCCTCCAAATTTTAGGAATTAGGGGCCAAAAAGGGGCAAAAAACAAGCATTTTTCTAGTTTCATGACAATAACTTGTGTGTACGTGTATGGATCTCTCTGACATTGTACCACAAGGTTCCATATCACAAAGGGAAAGCTGGGATTGATTTTGGGGGTAATTGCCTCCAAATTTTAGGAATTAGGGGCCAAAAAAGGAGCAAAAAACAAGCATTTTTCTAGTTTCATGACAATAACTTATGTGTAAGTGTATGGATCTTTATGAAATTGTACTACAATGTTCCATATCACAAAGGGAATGCTGGAATTTAGTTTGGGGGTTATTGCCCAAAAGGTTTAGGAATAAGGGGCCAAAAAGGGGCCAAAAATAAGCATTTTTCTAGTTTCCAGACAATAACTTGTGTTCAAGTGTATGGATCTCTCTGAAATTGTACTGCAAGGTACCATACCACAAAGGGAAGACTGGAATTGATTTTGGGAGTAATTGCCTCAAAATTTTAGGAATAAGGGGCAAAAAAGGGGCTAAAAAACAAGCATTTTTCTAGTTTCAGGACAATAACTTGTGTGTAAGTGTATTGATCTTTGTGAAATTGTACTACAAGGTTCCATATCACAAAGGGAAAGCTGGGGGTTTGAGTTTGGGGGTAATTGCCCTAAACATTTAGGAATTTGGGGCCAAAAAACAAGCATTTTTCTAGTTTCCAGACTATAACTTGTGTTCAAGTGTATGGATCTCTCTGAAATTGTACTGCAAGGTACCATACCACAAAGGGAAGGCTGGGATTGAGTTTGGGGGTGATGAATCATAAGGGGGGTTAAAAAATTTTGGGGGAGGGATTTTTTTTTTCTTTAAAATTTTCCATTTTAAATTGGTTATTTCTGATTTATATATAAAAGCAAATAATAATGATATGGTTTGAATAGGTAAATTAAAAATTTTTAAGTTCTTAGACCACATTCATTCTGTGTCAGAAACCTATGCTGTGTCAAATATTTAATCACAATCCAAATTCAGTGCTGTATCAAGCTTGAATGTTGTGTCCATACTTGCCCCAACTGTTCAGGGTTCAACCTCTGCGGTCGTATCAAGCTGTGCCCCAGCGGAGCATTTAATTTGTAATCTGTCCTCCTCCTAACTTTGTTGGAGCAGTTTCTGCATTAGGAGCACACTCCTGTATATGAAGTCCGTATAGTGTGAACATGCACGAGCATAACGTATCAACTGAGATATGTAAACACCATACGAAGGGGCAGAGGGTATGTTATTGCTGAGAAATGGGAAATTGATAATTGGGAAGTTGAAATCGTCCCGTTTATCATAGATTTTCGTGTGAAGTCGTTCATCTGTGTCAATATTGAGGAAAAGATCAAGGTATGAAGCAGTCCTTCTAGTATCAGTACTATCCTTAATTTCAAGTTCACTGGGATATATGAGATGTAAGTATTGGCTGAAATATGGGTTATTCAATGATAGGACATCATCAATATATCGGAAAGTAAAATTACGAGTACAAAAACAAACCGGCCAGTAGGGGTTGACAATTAGTACCCATTGGAATACTGACTGTTTGTTGAAATATAAATCCTCCAAACTCAACAAATATATTGTCGATCAAAAAGTCCAGCATTTTGATAATATCATCTTCAGTATATTTTCTGGTAGATTCAGTGTGGTTCTTCACAAAATATGAATTATTGTAACCCAAAACAAGAAATTTGTATCTACAATTTGTAACCGCTTATGAAATTATGTAGGTAAACGAAAGACGCTCAAGTCCTTCAAAATTAAAGAAAAGTTAACTCTAGTTTAGCAAACGATAATCTCAATTTATTAAATTGATTTAATGCTTAATGATTAAATCTTATTGTGAAACAGCACAGTATTGCAATTGCGCGATAGCAAGAAATCTTCAATTGCACAGTATTGCTCAATAGCAAGAAATCTTCAATCACACGGTATTGCACAATAGCACAGTATTGCACAATAGCAAGAAATCTTCAATTGAAAATTAATACAAATCTTTTAACCAATTTCAATGGGATTAGTTTAAAGTCTTTAATTTTTGGGGGGTTCTAACCTTATATTACTATTTTGGATATTGGGCCCCACTTTTGAATTGGTCTACATTGATGTCCAAAGGGTCCAAATTTAAACTTTGTTTGATTTGAACTAAAAAAAATTGTGTTTTTTTATATGTTAAATCTGATTTTGGATATCAGACCATGCTAGGTATATTAAATGCCCCATTTTAAATTTTATAAGATCTTTTACCACATTTATTTTGTGTCAGAAACCTATATTTTTTCAAAAATTTGATTACAATCCAAATTCAGGCATTATCAAGCTTGAATATTCTGTTCAAACATGCCCCAACTGTTCAGGGTTTGACCTCTGTGGTTGTATCAGGCTGCCCTCACCAAAGTATTTTATATTGAGTAAAAATGACTTATATCTATAAAAAATGATATACTTTAATATCTGTTAAAACAGTATAACTCCATATAAAATAAAGTTTTGGGGTAACAGTTATCGTTTCTTGGGTCAATATTCAGTTCTTGGGAGTTCTCTAGAAATTGTGGTACCCTCCTATAGTTGTTGACTTCTACATCATTTGGTCTCTGGTGGGGATGTTGTCTCATTAGCAATCATACCACATCTTCTTATCTTTATAGAACTGGATTCCAGATTCAGAAGGTTCGAGTGAGGAAGGAAGTAGTGATGCAGATGATGATGATGAGGAGGAGGAGGATGTTGAGGAGGAGGAGGAGGAAAAGGAAGAAATTTGTGAGGAAGGGGTTGTTGAACCTGATAGTGATGAAGAAGACAAGAATGATGTTAGTAAAAATATTAGTACTGGGGAGTCATTTATATTTGGGGTATACCAATTTTCATGGATATCAAGGGTAAAGGTAAACCATGAATTTTAATGTTCAACGAATTATAAATTTTCTATTTGCTTGTATACATACTTGGGGAAATCAATCAAATCAAATATACAAGAAAACACAATTTTTCCTCAATTCATGAAAATTGGTAACCTTGAGAAAATAAGTGAATCCACATTAGTTTCAATATTTATATCTTCAGTCATCACTCATCATTTCAATCTCTTTATCCTATCAAAATGTTTGTCTTTGTTGGGCAGAATTACGATTGACTTGCCACATTCATGACATTGTTAATGTTTGTAATATGTACCTATGAAATTAAATTACTTTCACATCATATGGAATTATCAAATTCCTTTTGTTGTTTTGAGGTGAATTTTATTCCCCCTTTCCCCCTTTCCCCCTGTGTAAACTTTATTTTTGCAGACTAAATTAAAAGTGATTTGCTTTTGATGTGAACAACTATAGGTTACCGTATGGCCTTCAACAATGAGAAACTCTTTACTGCACATTAAGCTATAAAAGACCTTAAATTACGCAAATGTATAATTAATCTAGTTTGTAGTTTATAAAGGTCAAAAGATGATTACATATAGAAAAAAGTACAATAGTAGAATGCACACATTTAAACAGCCATCCATCATCATCATTACACTCAGTTATGGGAATTGGACATATGTTAACAGTTCACAATGTGAAAGAACTTAACAATTTAGGTAAATTTTGGTTCATTATCGAAAAAAACCTGAAATATGTAGTTGTAATGATTATTGTCATTCCCAGCCAAATGTGTAATTTGTATAATTATTGTTATTTATATTGCACTGTCTGATGCATTGAAAATTTAATGTAAAAATGTATAGTCTATAAGCAGTATTGCTTCTGAATAAAGTATTACTATTATTTAATATGTGTCATGACAGAGAAATTATGTGTGTACCTGCCATGAATAAATGACTTTTTGTTTGCACACTTTCTTGTAGGAACCATCAGTGGGTGTTAAAAAACCTCATAGGTATAGACCTGCAACTGTGGCTCTGAGGGAAATCAGGCGTTATAAGAACGATACAGGTAGAGAGGAGGAGAGGAGGTACATGTAAACTACTCATTTTACTTCTGTTTTATATCGCTTTAAGAAATATATAATTAACTTTCCACACTAGTGTTGTTATCAATGTTTTTTATGCTATTATTAGAAAAGAAGGGATACGGGGTGTATATCCAAAAACACTAAATCAGTACATGCACAGCAAAAAACACAAAAAGCAAAGAAACAGTGCTTTTATTGCTGTTCTTCATCTCAAAGTCACATTGAGGCCTAGCTTCAACATGAGCAAAAACTCTAACCTCAATGCAAGTTTAAGACCAGCTCTAGCACTAATTTGAGCAGAATTATTAAGAAGGTTTTGACCCAGCTAGCGTGGTATTGTCATTATGTTTATAAAATAAAATGTTCTTCTCTAGAACAGGAACCACTGATTAATTTTTAAGGATGTACTTAGGTGAAGTTTATGAATTTTTGTCAAATGTTCGGACTTCTTGGTTTTTTTCCTGCGATACAGGGTAAAATATTTTGCCCCATAACATCCATTTTTCTATTCATATTAGACTTCAATAGCTCATAAAAGATCATTTACCAAAATTAAAGCAGATTCTAGATTTCTTTTCTTTCAATTTGAGACCGAAATAATTATACCAATGCAAATATAAGGTAAAAGTCTGAGTCAGCCTTTTAGCGCCATTTAAAAAAAATTAAATATCTCGAAAAGGAGCTCCATCATAACCTATCAATATTATTTGTTTATTTTGATCCTCAACTAATGCTCTTCTGACTTATACGTATCAATTTTAAATTCTAGATTTTTTTAATTTCACCCAAGTACATCCTTAAATCAAAATTTACTACAAATACATTCCTATTGTTTGGTTTCAATTTTATTTGTGACAATTTACCAGCTGACCATCCAACATATCTGCCTATACTATTTTTCAATTTTTCATCGGAAAAATCCTGTACCAAGTCAGGAATACGACAGTTGTTTTCCATTTGGTTCTCTTAATAGATAAAGTCTAATGTTTGATTTTGTCAGTTTCTATGGACTTTGTTTTGTTATACTTTAATACTAAAAATAGATGTGAGGAGTAAGATCAGCAAGCTTAAGGTTGTTTACAATCTTGTCCTTTGCTTTTTGGTGGATAGTTGGCTCATTGGCAATCATACCACATCCTATTATTAGTATTTTAATATGTTCATTGTATTATTATTAGAAATAGCCAACCAGTGCTATGGAAAGAACTGTAAAACTAGTATGTTAATATAAAAATAAGAAGATGTGGTATGGGCAATGAGAAAATTCTCCACAAGAGACCATAGAAATTAACAACTATAGGTCACTGTACAGCCTTTAACAATGAGCAAACCCATACCATATAGTCAGCTATAAAAGCCCCCAATAGGACATATGTAAAACAGGTCAAACAAGAAAACTAACGTCCTGATTTATGTTCAAAGTAACAAATATGATATACAGCTTTAAACAACAACCACTGAATTACAGGCTCCTGATCATGATTTGGGGCAGGCACATACAGAATGACTTTTTAAAACCTTACAGATTAACCACAATTTCCCAATGATTTTCAACTTCAGCATAATGTTTTTTTCAGTAAGCTGGATGACTTTCAATGTGAATTTCCAAGTCTTATGCCACCAAAAGTTACAATTGATGAGGAACAGATAAAACAGATGGAGGCTGAGGTAAGATAAACTTATTCTTAAACTCTATTCAGTAGCTTTATCAAAAGTTTTCACAAGTCTTTTTTTTTTCTGCATTTTGAAAAAGCTTAAGTGTGAGAAGGATTACGCAATTAAGATCATATGGTGACCTGTATATTGGGGCATGATAAAAACAATTTCTTTCCCATTCCAGAAATATGGCTATTGTGTCACAAAATACTTGTAATTGTTTAATTGTTCGTGACATGTGTTTGAAGGTTGCAACACTAACTGCAAGTTAAAAAACCTCTTCTGCTTGTTTTTTTTTTTTTTTTTTTTTTTTTTTATCTTTTATTTGTTTTTCAATAGTCAGGATTTAATATACATGTACCCCTACACTACCACCTGACAAGGGTATCAAGGGGTTACATATAAAAAATAATTCAGTATACAATATATATCACTGACAAGTTGATTTTTATAATTATACATGTAGTATTTAAGGTTACATATAAATTTTATTTGATTATATTCTCTCGCTCTCTGACTTTCTCTCATACAATACAAATACTCTTCACTCATTTGCTTTGCTACAATATGTACATGATGTATCTTGACTTACATTTTAAAAACAAAATATTTTAAAGAAAAAAAAAAAAAAAAAAAAACTCAAGGCTAAATATTTGCTCATGATATATAGATATTTTATTCTCTCACTTATATGAAACAATAATTAATTAAATATTACATGTAAAGGAGACCAAAATTTTTCACACACTTGGACTCTATTATTTTTCTTTGCAATATAATATTCAAGAAATTGGTATTTCTTTATTCTATTCTTTAACCCAACCATATTTGGTTTTGTTTCATTTAATTTACATTTGTATATATAGTTTTTTGTAATTATGACTAACAGATTCAGTAATAAACTTTCATGTTTGCAACCAAGAAACACATTCTCTTTGTTAAGAACAAAGTTTACAAAAAAAAAGTTTTACTGCATTTGAAAAAGACTGCCACAATTGAAAAGTTATTGGGCATTCAAAAAAAAGGTGTTCAATGGTTTCTTCACCAAGTTTACAAAAAGTACACATCTTGGTGTCTTTTAATTTAATTTTGTATAAAAAGGTATTAGTTGCTATGATTCTATGCAAAAATTTGTATTGAAAAGTTCTTAAATAAACATCTCTACATGATTTTTTGGTTATCCTGAAATATTCTGACCATTCTGTTGTATCAATAATCAACAGTTCTTCCCATTTCGAAAACTTGACTGTTGGTAGTTCAATAACTTTATTTACTAAATTTTTATATACAAATTTGGCTTTCACATTACCTATAATTCTCTTTAAAAAAATATCACCATTATCAGGCTTATCCAAATCTTGCTTTAAACAGTTCTCTTTAAGGTATTTTTTCATAGTCTGAGGGATTCTTGAAATCAGACCATGATATTTGATAAAATTGTTGATTTTTACTCTTTCTTGAAATTGCTCAAATTTATAAAAATTCATATTTTCTTTATTAATTAGGTCACTTACTGACTGCACACCTCCTTGTTTCCATTGAATATAATATGGGAAATCATCCAAAGAGGAAAAGTTCAAAATATCTAATGATAAAATGTCACTGACAGAATTCTCAGTATTAGGTTTTGCGATAGAAAAGCATAGTAAAACATCCTTCCAGAAAGGATTTTTACATTTTTTAGAAATCTCAATCAGCTTTTCTTTCTGTAGATGTAAAACCCTTTCACCCCCATACTGTATAAGGTCTGCCAGTAACAACTGCTGCCAGCCACCAACTGGGTTTGACATCAGTCTTTTTATCCAACTAATTTTTAAATAGATATTAAAGGAATGAAGATGTACCATATTAAGTCCACCTTGTGAAATATCACCAATAAGTGTGTTACGCTTAATTCTGTCTGGTTTTCCACTCCATATAAAATTATAAAATAATGAAGTGAGCTCTGTTAACCTGGATTGTGATAGGTTTGGCAATGCAGTCATTAAGTGTACCAATTTCGAAAGAGCAAGTGATTTAACTACTGTAATTTTCCCCAATAATGTTAGTTTACGATGTTGCCAGCTCTTCAGGATTGCAGAGACTTCTTTAATCTTCTTGGCAAAATTAATTTCTGTGATACAGTTTAAATCTAAAGAAAATTCAATCCCCAAAAGTTTAAAATTTGAATGTGACCAATGAAGTTTTAAGTCAGGACAAAGAATCATATCTGAATACTTTTTGTTTCCAACCCATAGTGCTTTTGTCTTTGAAGCATTTATTTTTAAACCTGAAATTTTATAAAAAGATTCAAAACATGAAAGTGTTTCCCTCAACGATATTTCCCTTCCATCTAACATAAGGAATGTGTCATCTGCATACTGGCTTAAAAGTGATTCATTATCATTTACAGTTATTCCCCTTATTTCAGGATTATCTTTTAATTTTAAAGATAGTAATTCAACACCAATTATAAATAAATAGGGTGAAAGAGGATCTCCTTGTCTGCAGCCTCTTTCCAATTGAAAAAACTTTGAAGTATGTCCATTATTTATAACACAACTTGATGCCCCCGAGTATAAAGTTTCAAACTTCTTCTGCTTGTTACAGGCAAACATTTTGTCATTATAATCTCCTTTTTCAAGTCACAGTTGGAATTTCAAGCCCAACCCTATAGCTATATCCCAGTCTGAAGACATTTGGTTTCCAGAGAATAACTTGAGTACAAGTGTATGGATCTCTATGATTAATGTGTTGTAAATCTTATTGAGACAACAGCACAAAAAAAACTTAAATAACATGGATATTTTTAGAATAAAACTTTCACAAATTGAGTCTTTAAAAAGTAATGTCCATTTTGATCAAATGAGTTAAAATTGTTGCTAGTGTGACTTTTTCAGATTGAAGTTTTCTTGAAAGTTGTCAGTATTTTCAAACCAATCATAAATTACTTTTGAAATAAATATCTTTTTTCTTTTTTCCAGTATTTTAGCAGTGCATTACCTCCCTTGCCATCAGATGACAGTGATTTAGATAGCAATCTTTCTGTTAAAGAAACTGATGGTAAATATTACTCTGCAGTCGCTGTAGATAGTAATGTTAATATAATAAACAAGTATTATGCTCCAGATTTTGATTCTTCATTTAAACCAGATGAGAAGTCTAAAACAGGACCATCTCAGTTGGTGGATATTCAACCTGACCAATTTAATGCATCTACATCCATGATGTATGAAGCAGAAAAGATACCAAGTACTCCACCTACACTTCTTGACTACAATACATCTACAGCAGGTAGCCCAACTGGACCAAATTACTTAGGCTATAGCCATGCTATCCCAGGGTATCAACCGACATGGCCAAGTTATAGTCCAACATCGCCATCTTACGAGCCAACAAGTCTTGCTATCCCGGAGTTTCAACCAACATGGCGAAGTTGTAGTCCAAATTACTTACCACAACCTTCAAGCTATAGTCGTGCTATCCCAGAATATCAACCAACGTGGCCAAGTTATAGTCCAACATCACCATCTTATGAGCCAACAAGTCCTGCCTATGTAACCTCACATAGTTACAAATCAAACATTGTTGATAGATCTACTGTAAAAGCATCTGAGTATCTTAGAAATCTGGATGGGAATATGTCTTACTATGATCCCAAAACTAGAGCCATGAGAGAAAAAGAAGTAAAATGTGGTGTTACAGGAAGGGGAGGAGGAAGTAGTGTTAGAGGAAGGACAGAAGAAAGTAGTGTTAGAAGAAGGACAGAAGAAAGTAGAGCTGGAAGAGGAGGAGACAGCTATGTTGACAGCTGGAAAGGTAGTGGATACACTGGTCAAGGGTCAAGAAGTCGTGGTCAGAGTGGCTGGAATCAGAAAGATGAAAAAAGAGAAGAATCAAATGAAGAGCAAAGAAGTCATAAAAGACTTGATGAATATTTAGATAAGAGAGATTCTGATAATTCTAAATCTAGGAGTATATCACCTCCAAATAGAAGACTTAGAAGATCAGGAAGACGATCACCTCTTTACAGAAGACAAAGTAGATCTAGGACAAGATCGCCTCCCTACAGAAGACAAAGTAGATCTAGAACAAGATCACCTTCCTACAAACGATCTAGAAGTAGATCAAGTTCTTACAGGAGACACAGTAGATCTAGAAGTAGATTTTCTCCCTTTAGAAGACATGGTTCATTTAGAAATAGATCACATCACATCAGAAGAAATAGAAGATCTAGAAGTCGATCACGTCCTTACAAAAGATATAGTAGATCTAGGAGTAGATCAAGACGTAACAGAAGAAATAAGAGATCGAGAAGTAGCTATAGATCACACCCCAATAGAAGAAGCAGATCTAGAAAATCTTTTAGTTCTAAGAGAAGGCTTTCTAAATCAATAAGTAGAGATAGAGATAAAGATAAAGGAGAGGGTGGCAACATCAGTACCAGTTGCCATGATAGGCAACTTGCAAGGTCTAGAAGTATACAATCAAGTCATGCGATATCCAGAAGTAGAAGATGGTCAACAAGCACTGCCTCTTCACGGTCAAGAAGGAGAAGTTCAAGATTAATGAGCAGAAGTGTATCAAGGTCAAAGCAAAGGTCACCAAAAAAGAAGTCTAGAAGGTCAGAAAATTTAAGTAAAGTGAAACAATTGACAAGCAGAAGTATTTCAAGGTCAATATCCAGAACAAGACGATCCAAACCATCAAGATGGTCAGAACGTTCACCTTCAAGATCCAATGAAATATGGAGTTCAAGATTGGAGATGTTGGCAAAATCTGATTATGATGGCTATATGAAAGCAAAGAGAGATTTAGTTTCTTATGAAAATACAAGTCCATCACCTTGTAGAGACAACATATCAAAAAGTAGGACAGATGATGAGAGAAAACGGTACAGACATATATCTTCTGATCAGGACATAACTGAAGGTAACTAACAAAATAATTACTACAGGGAAATTATTTTCCTTTTTTTCATTTAGTTACTGTTGCAGGGTGTAGCACCAAGTTAAATGATATGTAATTTAATTGAAAACTAAGTTTCACACTCCTTCAGACAAAGCTGACCATAGACTATTTAAACTATCTCTTTCTTCTAAATCTTTTGATTATCAGGCTTCTAATAGAGGTGTACCCCCACAAAAACACTTCAAACAAACCATATTACTGTAAATTCAGAAATTATTGTGTGCGTTTATTATTGCGAATTTTGAAAAATTGGAAGAAATGCGAATTTGATCATTGCAGTTTCAGGATAAAATGAATAGATATATATATAGTAAATATCATATTGCCAGTTCTTATTATTGCAAAAATCATGCAATCACATTATTTCAATTAATAAAAACCTCGCAATAATTTCTGAATTTACAGTAGTTCTTTTAAATTTAAATATTACATAGAATTATTTATTTGAATTCCCTCAGTCAAGACTCAAAAATTAGTTTTAGTTTTCCATCCATCTTTGGCCCAGGCCCCTCTTATGGAGCTACACATATGGTTAATGCATAAACTTTTTAAATGTCCCACTTTAAGCATTGCCTAATTTGGGCCCAGGCCCCCTTTTTAGCTCACCTGGCCCGAAGGGCCAAGTGAGCTTTTCTCATCACTTGGCGTCCGTCGTCCGGCGTCGTCCGTCGTCGTCCGGCGTCGTCCGTCGTCGTCCGTTGTCGGCGTTAATTTTTTACATTTTGAACTTCTTCTAGAGAACCACTGAATGGAATGAAACCAAACATGGCATGAATCTTCCTTATGAGGTGCTGACCAAGTGTTGTTACTTTGTAGCCGATCCATCATCCAAGATGGCCGCCAGCGGGGGACTTAGTTTAACATAGGACCCTATGGGAAATGCATACAAATGACTTCTTTTAGAGAACCACTGAATGGAATGAAACCAAACATGGCATGAATGTTCCTTATGAGGTGCTCACCAAGTGTTGTTACTTTGTAGCCGATCCATCATCCAAGATGGCTGCCAGCGGGGGACTTAGTTTAACATAGGACCCTATGGGAAATGCATACAAATGACTTCTTTTAGAGAACCACTGAATGGAATAAAACCAAACATGGCATGAATGTTCCTTATGAGGTGCTGACCATGTGTTGTTACTTTGTAGCCGATCCATCATCCAAGATGGCCGCCATCGGGGAACTTAGTTTAACATAGGACCCTATGGGAAATACATACAAATGTCTTCTTTTAGAGAACCACTGAATGGAATGAAACCAAACATGGCATGAATGTTCCTTATGAGGTGCTGACCAAGTGTTGTTACTTTGTAGCTGATCCATCATCCAAGATGGCTGCCAGCGGGGGACTTAGTTTAACATAGGACCCTATGGGAAATACATAAAAATGTCTTCTTTTAGAGAACCACTGAATGGAATGGAACCAAACATGGCATGAATGTTCCTTATGAGTTGCTGACCAAGTGTTGTTACTTTGCAGTCGGTCCATCATCCAAGATGGCCGCCAGCGGGGGACTTAGTTTAACATAGGACCCTATGGGAAATACATAAAAATGTCTTCTTATAGAGAACCACTGAATGGAATGAAACCAAACATGGCATGAATGTTCCTTATGAGGTTCTGACCAAGTGTTGTTACTTTGTAGCCGATCCATCATCCAAGATGGCCGCCAGCGGGGGACTTAGTTTAACATAGGACCCTATGGGAAATACATACAAATGTCTTCTTTTAGAGAACCACTGAATGGAATGAAACCAAACATGGCATGAATGTTCCTTATGAGGTGCTGACCAAGTGTTGTTACTTTGCAGTCGGTCCATCATCCAAGATGGCCGACAGCAGGGGACTTAGTTTAACAAAGGACCTATGGGAAATACATACAAATGTGTTCTTTTAGAGAACCACTGAATGGAATGAAACCAAACATGGCATGAATCTTCCTTATGAGATGTTGACCAAGTTTTGTTACTTTGTAGCCGATCCATCATCCAAGTTGGCCGCCAGCGGGGGACTTAGTTTTACATATGACCCTTTGGGAAATACATAAAAATGTCTTCTTATAGAGAACCAATAAATGGAATGGAACCAAACATGGCATGAATGTTCCTTATGTGATGTTGACCAAGTGTTGTTACTTTGCAGCCGATCCATCATCCAAGATGGCCGAAAGCGGGGGACTTAGTTTAACATAGGACCCTATGGGAAATACATACAATTGTCTTCTTTTAGAGAACCACTGAATGGAATTGAACCAAACATGGCATGAATGTTCCTTATGAGTTGCTGACCAAGTGTTGTTACTTTGCAGTCGATCCATCATCCAAGATGGCCTCTAGGGGGGGGGGGGGGGGGGGGGCTTAGTTTAACATAGGACCCTATGGGAAATACATACAAATGTCTTCTTTTAGAGTACCACTAAATGGAATGAAACCAAACATGGCATGAATGTTCCTTATGAAGTGCTGACCAAATGTTGCTACTTTGTTGCCGATTTACTGTTCAAGATGGCCACCAGGATATTTTATAAAATAACGGGACCAATATTAATCAAAATTTGGCGTCATCGTTGTTAACTTTTTACATTTTGAACTTCTTCTAGAGAACCACTAAATGGAATGAAACCAAACATGGCATGAATGTTCCTTATGAGGTGCTGACCAAGTGTTGTTACTTTGAAGCCAATCCAACATCCAAGATGGCCGCCAGCGGGGGACTTAGTTTAACATAGGACCCTATGGGAAATACATACAAATGTCTTCTTTTAGAGAACCACAGAATGGAATGAAACCAAACATGGCATGAATTTTCCTTATAAGGTGCTGACCAAGTGTTGTTACTTTGAAGCCGATCCATAATCCAAGATGGCCGCCTGCGGGGGACTTAGTTTAACATAGGACCCTATGGGAAATAGTTACAAATGTCTTCTTTTAGAGAACCACTGAATGGAATGAAACCAAACATGACATGAATGTTCCTTATGAGGTGCGGACCAAGTGTTTTTATTTTGAAGCCGACCCATCATCCAAGATGGCCATCGAAGGGGGACTTAGTTTAACATAGGACCCTATGGGAAATACATACAAATGTCTTCTTTTAGAGAACCACTGAATGGAATGAAACCAAACATGGCATGAATGTTCCTTATGAGGTGTTGACCAAGTTTTGTTACTTTGAAGCCAATCCATAATCCAAGATGGCAGCCAGTGGGGGACTTAGTTTAACATAGGACCCTATGGACAATACATATGAATGTCTTCTTTTAGAGAACCACTGAACGGAATGAAACCAAACATGGCATGAATGTTCCTTATGAAGTGCTGACCAAGTGTTGTTACTTTGAAGCCGATCCATCATCCAAGATGGCCACCAGCTGGGAACAGTGTTTAACAAAGGACCCTATGGACAATACATACAAATGTCTTCTTTTAGAGAACCACTGAATGGATTGAAACCAAACATGGCACGAATGTTCCTTATGAGGTGCTGACTAAGTGTTGTTACTTTGAAGCTGATCCTTTATCTATGATGGCCGCCAGCGTGGGACTTCCTTTAACATAAGACCCTATTGGAAATACATACAAATGCTTCTTCTAGAGGTGCACTGAATGGAATGAAACCAAACATGGCATAAATGTTTCTTATGAGGTGCTGATGAAGTGTTGCTACTTTGTTGCTGATTTACTGTTAAAGATGGCCACCAGGATTTTTTATTAAATTACAGTATCTGTTATGATTTTAATCTGTTTTAACATGATTTCCAAAACCAAAGTAGAATCAGGTGAGCGACACAGGCTCTTGAGAGCCTCTAGTTCTGGATCTGCATCTGTTGACTATATGAATGTGACACTATAGTACAGTTATGTTACCTCTTTCTGACAAATTTTAGGAACTATTCTAAATTATACAGCAGCTAGTTCACTTCCTTAAGTCTTTATCTACAAAATATTGTCACCTATAGTGATATTTCGTTCAATGTCAATTTCATGTCACATTACTGTTCTTCACAATCTGAGGTTCATTTAGGGATGGAAAATCAGTTTTATTTTTGTGTTAACATTTTCATAAATATATTTGTATTAATTTGTAGGTGCAGTATAAAAGCAATATAAGGTCAATGTCAGAAAAATATCAACTTTTTTGTATTCGACATGAAACTGTTAAAGGGATTTGTAAACATCTCCCTTCCCCAGTTTTTTAGCCTCAAACAAAAAAGTTGAAGTTTTTCTGACATTGACCTGTTAAAAATATTGTATATTTGCAATACTGATGTTCATGTTTTAGGTACAATGAATACTTGTATCAACTCAAGTTAATCCTTCGTTTGTTTGTTATTTTTTAAAAGAGGATTTATCTCAAACTAATTGTACCTAAAGATAGATAATTTTTAAATTTGATTGATATTTGTTTTGTCATTTTATGCATGTTAGAATGTTCACATTTGGTTTTCAGAGTAAATTATTCCATGAAGGTGCAAATAACTCAATTTCTGAATGCCTTATTATTACTGCATATACAACAAGGAAGACTAAGAGATTTACAGAACAAACATAATGAAAACACTACAACTTTAATTTGTAACTTTTTTTATACGACCGCAAAAATTAAAATTTTTTTGGTCGTAAATTGGTATGACGTTGGCGTCGATGTCGTCGTTGTCGTCGTCGTCCGAAGACACATTGGTTTTCGCACTCTAACTTTAGTTTAAGTGAATGGTTCTCCATGAAATTTTACCATAAGGTTCAATACCACGAAAGGAAGGTTGGGATTGATTTTGGGGGTTATGGTACCAACAGTTAAGGAATTAGGGGCCAAAAATAAGCATTTTTGTAACTTCCAGACAATAACTTGTGTGTAAGCGTATGGATCTCTCTGACATTGTACCACAAGGTTCCATATCACAAAGGGAAGGCTGTAATTGATTTTGGGGGTAATTGCCTCAAAATTTTATGATGAGGGGCCAAAAAAGGGGCAAAAAACAAGCATTTTTCTAGTTTCATGACAATAACTTGTGTGTAATTGTTTGGATATTTCTGAAATTGTACTACAAGGTTCCATATCACAAAGGGAAAGCTGGAATTGAGTTTGGGGGTAATTGCCCGAAACGTTTAGGAATTGGGGGCCAAAAATAAGCATTTTTCTAGTTTCCAGACAATAACTTGTGTTCAAGTGTATGGATCTCTCTGAAATTGTACTGCAAGGTACCATATTACAAAGGGAAGGCTGGGATTGAGTTTGGGGGTGATGAATCATAAGGGGGTTCAAAAAATTTGGGGGGGGGTGATTTTTTTTTTTTTTTTTTTTCTTTTTTTCCTTTTTTTTTTCTTTTAAAATTTTCCATTTTAAGTTGGTTATTTCTGATTTATATTCAAAAGCAAATAATAATGATATGGTAGGAGATACACACCAAACAGGATGTGTAAATTATTATATAATAAGTATTGTGCAGTAGCAAGAAATTTTCAATTGCACAGTATTGCACAATAGCAAGAAATCTTCAATTGCACAGTATTGCGCAATAGCAAGAAATCTTCAATTGCACAGTTTTGCGCAATATCAAGAAATATCCAATAGCACAATATTGCGCAATAGCAAGAAATTGTCAATTGTACAGTATTGCGCAATAGCAAGAAATATTCAATTGCACAGTATTGTGCAAAAGAAGATACTTCGTATAAATTGCTTATTTCTTGATCAATTTCAATGGGGTTTTATTCTTGAATTCTTGGGGTTCTTTAATATGCTGAATCTAACCGTGTATAAAGTTTTTGGATTTTGGGCCCCGTTTTTGAATTGGTCCACATTGAGGTCCAAAGGGTCCAAAATTTAACTTTGTTTGATTTCATCAAAAATTGAATTATTGGGGTTCTTTGATATTCCGAATCTAACCGTGTATTTAGATTCTTAATTTTTGGTTCCGTTTTCAAATTGGTCTACATTAAGGTCCAAAGGGTCCAAAATTTAACTTAGTTTGTTTTTAACAAAAATTGAATTTTTAGGGTTCTTTGATATGCTGAATCTAAACATGTATTTAGATTTTTGATTATGGGCCAAGTTTTCAAGTTGGTCCAAATCGGGGTCAAAAGGGTCCAAAATTAAACTTTGTTTGATTTCAACAAAAATTGAATATATGGGGTTCTTTGATATGCTGAATCTAACCATGTATTTAGATTTTTGATTTTTGGGCCCCGTTATCAACTTTGTCCACATTGAGGTCAAAAGGGTCCAAAATTAAACTTTGTTTGATTTCATCAAAAATTGAATTCTTGGGGTTCTTTGAAATTCTGAATCTAACCATGTATTTAGATTTTGGATATTGGACCATAATAGGTGAATGTCCAATTTAAAATTTTTAAGTTCTTAGACCACATTCATTCTGTGTCAGAAACCTGTGCTGTGTCAAATATTTAATCACAATCCAAATTCAGAGCTGTATCAAGTTTGAATGTTGTGTCCATACTTGCCCCAACTGTTCAGGGTTCGACCTCTGCGGTCGTATCAAGCTGCGCCCTGCGGAGCATTTTATTGTATAGGATTTCATGACAAGTCAGCTCATTTTTATAAACTACCAAAAAACTTTATAAAGGTAGCACAATACAAAGATTTTTTTAATTTCCAATCTCCAACCTTTAAAATGATGTTACTTTCTTATGACTGCATACAAATTAATAAAAGAGGTATATATAGATAGATAAAAGATTAATCTTTTAAATGAATGCAATATTTTTGTTATGCAATCATTATGTAATCAATTATTATGCAATTAATGGCAAAATCTTGGTCAGTTCACTTGAATGAATTTAGCTCTGACATCTCTATAACTACACAAGAAATTTTAACGTTATCTTAATCAACACAGCAGGAGCTACAAAAGGGTGTCTCAAATTATCGCTATTGTATTCCATTCTCTCATAAATCTGTAATTAGTGTAAACATCCTAACCACATAAAAGTAGAGATTATTTGATTAGGTGTAAAATTTGATCTATACATTCTATCCAAAATCTGAGACACCCTTTTGTAGATAATGGCTCTAGGAACAACATATTATAAAATCAACCCTCTCGGGGTATCCATGAAGCAGCTAATTTCAATTGAAAGTGGAAATTTCTTGTAAAATTTTGTAGACAGTTAAAATTATAATTAATTACATAATTGTTGTATAATACTAACATTGCATTAATTTAAAAGAGTAAGCTGTTAGCTATCCAAAATACCACTTTTATAAATTTTCATGCATTATAAAGAAAGTTACAGCATTTTAAAACTGGGGAGTTGGAGGTATAAAATCTTTGTATTGTGCTACCTTAATTTTATACATATGGAAGTTAAATATTTGCTCTTTGCGTTTGCCGTCAAAGCACTTATAGTTTGTCATATTTCATTGAAAAACAAATATTACAATTAACTTTATTTTTCAGACACACCAAGGCACCTTTTGGAAAATAATAAAGTAAGTTTTTTTGTATGTCACCTTTGTAGCACATTTAGAATACCAGATATAATGAGTTCTTACTGAACAAAAAATATTCCTTTTTATTGGGATTTTAATTTCCCTGAAAAGATACTTAAGGCGAAGTGTACGTAATTAACTACTCCACAGAATTTTTTTAAATTTTACATGTGGATTCTGCTTGTAAAAATACACCAGACAATAAAATAAAAAAAAGGGGTAACCGTTTTCGTTTTTCAAATACAAGCTGTTGAAATTAACAGCATGATACGCCAAAAATACAAAGGATATATAGGGAAAATCATAAAAATCGGCAGATATTTTTACTTTATTAAGATTTTCTAATTCGTTGGTCCACAGAATTTTTTTAAAAATCGATATGCGATTCAAAGATGAACGACGAACCCATTGGTGCAAAGAAAGTCCTTAGCAACCGTGCTAGTTTTCAAGCTATATCCTGTTAAAGTTTGATTTTTAGCGGAAAGAATAAAAACATTCGGCGACGTTATTGATGTCTACTGTAACGTCATCACAATTTCTACTCTATAACGCTATTATACCGTACAGTGTTGTAACAAAATCGTGAGTGTGTATAACCCATTTTCCTAATTATTGCAAATGCTCAAGCGTAATCAATTGATAAGGAAATAAACTAACTGTTTTTAAGGATAATTCTGCTGCCAAAAAAAAAAAACAAATTGGCAAATAAATATACTGCAAGCGAAAGAAAGTTACTGTATAGACTTTAACTCCATCTTTTTTTAATTAGACAGGGTTCCACATCTTTTTTGAAATGCATGTATTTATAGCTGACTATGGGCGTTGATCATTGTTGAAGGCCGTACGGTTACCTATAGTTGTTTATTTCTGTGTCATTTGGACTCTTGTGGAGAGTTGTCTCATTAGCAATCATACCACATCTTCTTTTTTTTTTATAGTGTATTGTTTTAATAATTATGAATCAAATATCAAGTTTGAAATTGTCCCAGTTACACAGCGTTGACAGAATGATTCTATACGTATTTAAATAATCGGTTATAATATTGGGATCGCGTATACACGTCTTTTTTTAAATCTTATTTCTGCATGTTTGTATTTTAAAAAAGTGAATATAATTTGCTGCATCTTTTCATCCTCACCATTTCCGGCGCTATTCGAGGTATTGCGCACAAAGCCCATTTTATTTGTCAGGTTCACACGCGTGCACGTGACACAACTCTGCAATTTTATTTAAAAAATTTCCTGTCTCGATCGCTTTCCCTTTTCTTTAACTACACGACAAAGCATGATATAATGTTTGCTGGAGATTTTAAGTAAAAAAGGAAATAATTTTTTGTACCATTATTTGTTAAATATCCACATGCAAGACTCCAAAAAATAAGAAAACTGCATCTGCATATTATCTTGAGAATTTTTATGGCTGTAATAAGGTCAAAAGAAGAACCCGCATATGAATTTTAGCAAGGTAAAACAGATTGGAGTTTTAACTTCACGTAGCACAGATCATTCCCAGTGTTAGCCTTAGCATTGTGTATATCGTGTTTAATGCTATAGCATTGTGTATAGTGTAATGCTAAAGCTTTGTGCATAGTGATATGCTATAAATGTACTGGTGTAATGCTATAAGAATGTACCAAGAGCGATGCTATACGAGTTTACCTAGTATAGTGCCATACAAATTGTTCCTGTATATAGTGCAAATTTGAATTGCAGTTTTGTTAATATAATATGAACATAAGGAGATGTGGTATGATTGCAAATGAGACAACTATCTGCCACGTTTAAGGTAGATCGGGTTCCTTTTTCTGAGCGTCCGTTCTGATCATGTTGCAAAAACTTTTTTGTTTTAAAAATATTTTACCAAGTATCATTCAATATACAACAAAATACCTAAAACTTGAAATTTAAAGATTGAACTATCAAGAAATTAAGTGTCGTAAAGTATATTTAAAATATTTGGGGATTTTTTTCAAGAAAATAAGGCATGTGACACCCTATTTTTATTTGATATTTCGGAGTTATTAATGAAAAGCAATTCTCTCATCGACTTTTAGCCAATTCCATCGTTTAATGTTTCTGCAATAAGGAAAATTTAAGTTTCCCCTATATTAACAATATAAAATAACCCAAATTTCGTTAATTTCAATGTGTTATTACGAAAAAACAAGGTCCGTGATCCCCAGTTTTTATATTGAAATTTATATAACATTGACACAGAAGTCTTACAGAAGTTTAAGAAAAATCTATCGTCCAACATTTAGACACCCCAGCTACCTTAAAGGATGTGGATGTAAGCAATTGTTAAAGGCAATCATATATACGGCCTTCAACAATGAGAAAATCCATACCGTATAGTCGGTTATAAAAAGCCCCGACATTGTAGAACTAATTTTCTTCACCCCCTCCCCATTCTTCCCCTACCTCATACTACTGCTGAATGATACACAAAAGCACAACAAAAAAGAAAACAAGTTTCGCTATCCCTTTGAAATCTGAATTTGATAAAGAAAAAAATAACACGTTCTATTTTTATCATACATGTGTAGTTTCAGTTTCAACCATGGTTCTAAATTTAGATTTTACTTTCCCCAAAAATTGCGGACGGAAGAGAAGACACCTGTTTATTTTTTGCACCTTGAAAACTGAGATTTGGATGACATAGATTTTACTTATTCTGAGATAAATGTAATAGTGCTCAATTCTTAGTTTCTGAGAGTGTAATGTTTTGTGGACGGAATCTGATGGGTTTTTTTTTTTTGCTGTTGGCTTTTTCTTCGGCTTATAAATGTTGTACTAGTGGTCGATTACCCCCGTATCTTTTATACTTTTTACCTAAATAATAAAATATAAAACATCATAAAAATTTTCAATTGCATAAAAACGGACATGCCAACGTCTTTCTTGTTCAAAACACAAATTCACATGCAATATAATTATTTGTTACCTACAATTTTACGCTACAGTACACTGTGAAATTCAATAAAAACTATGGTTTTTCAAAAAAATATTGTGGGGGTCAATTCAGGTTTGATTTTAATGAATTTGAAACGAATAGAAGCAGAATTGTCACTGGTTTATTTTTTATTTGGTTATAATTTTGTTGTTTAGGCGTTTTTACCTTCTGTTGAAATAAACACGAGTCGTTTTGTGTACCTGCTCCTGCGTATTTAACTAAAACAAAAACAGTGGTAATATAGTCATACTAACTCACAATAGGATACTCAGATTTCTGATTAGAGTCATTCTAATAATTTCTTTGAAATTTTGAGATAGCACATGAATACTTGTTTGAATTCATGATAGACCGCACGAAGTTATTTCTCTTTCATGTGCCCATTTTTCCTTTCTTGGAGTAGGGGAGATAACCCGCGTAACTAACGACGCACGTTTTTTATCCTAAATTCCGCTAGAGGCGTGCAATTACGTACACTTCGCCTTAATGTGGCTCGGGTGTCTTCCTCCATCTTGGATTTTGAAGTAGCAGATAACAGTTGGTCTAGATCTTTAATGAAATGTGCAAATTTTTAGAGTAGTATGTAATTTATGTGTATTAAAGACTTTTTGGTGTAAATATAGAAAATTATGTGTTTTATCATATTTACGGCTGTAATTTCTAAAAAAAACACCATGTTTGTGTTTGATTCATTTTTTTCAACTTTGCCAAATAAGGGGAGATAATTCAGATAGTAGGGGAGATAACTCAGATAAAGTAATTTTACAATAGAAAGTGTTGTGAATTTACCTATTTTAATATGTAGCAAGAAAACAAGTTCGGTGACCCCATTTTTTCTTTTTTTATCTGAAAGCATGTTGTAAGAGCTATCTTCTCACATTTTATCTTAAAATTCTATCATGTAGTTTTCTTTTTATCACACAAAATTGGATTTTCTATGCATAATCTATACAAAATCTGACAATTTTGCACAACCTGTAGCTTGAAAAAATGTCTGGTGACCCATACTTTTTATTATATTTTTGAAAAAAGTATGATAAAAAATTTATTTTGACAAATTATTTAAAAATTCTATGGATTTTAATTAAGACGCCCCAGCCACCTTAATAGACTGTTACATAAAAAGTAATTGTACTTTGTTTTACATTTTTATTTTTTTGAAACACACTAGTATATGATACTGAAATACCTGAAATAAAGATACCCTGGTCTTTAGGTACTAGTATACCAGGGATCTCCACTGAAATAGCTGTACCAGTGCAGAAATCTGTTACTGTGAATTCATTATTAATCGTTGGATACCAATAGACTATTTTCATATTACTGACTTTTGACTCCGGATTATATAATTTATCGACTGGTTACCTTGGACATCATGGTACTCTGTCAAGTAAGAGCAGCCAAAATAAGTAAAATCAAACATATAATCGGTGTAATTTGAGGGGAAAGTTTACTGTTTTCCTTTGATTTTGTAGTGAAAAAAAAATATTAACCAGGTAATTTTCCACCAAAATTGTACCGATTGAAAGTTTGGTTTTACTTCTTTAGCTTGCTCTTACTTAACTTGGTACCATGATGTCCAAGGTAACCAGTCGACAAATTATATAATCCGGAGTCAAAATTCGGTAATATGAAAATAGTCTATTATCATGGGTTTTGTGGGTACAGGTTGATCACAAATACACAAATTCAAATGTTCATCAAATTAAAAAAATTCTATACCAGGCATCAGAGTGGAGATTGTCAAAACTACAAAATCAAATATCCACGAAAATGCTTTTTTTTCCCTGAATCCATGAAAATTGATACCCACGAAAATTATTGAATCCTCAGTAATAGCTTGTGCAATATTGTTTTTGAATAAGTAAAAAAAAAAGAAATACCTAACTATAGATCGGTTGGCTTCAAAATCAACTGCTCTACTGACATCAATTGATGTCGGTCAGTTTTGTGTATTATTTCTTATTAAGAGCCTATATTTGACTCCTGAAATTACATTAACAACAAAATTGTGTTAATTTCATTGATAAATGAACTGGTTTATATAATCTAGAATTTTTAGTGCAGAAAGGTCACTTGCTGTGATGTCATAATATAGTTTTTTTTTTATACGCCCGTTTACGGGACGTATTATGGTATACCGTTGTACGTCCGTCTGTCTGTCCGTCTGTCCGTCCGTCCGTCCGTCGTCAACATGTCGGACATTAACTCAAAAACGCTTTAACCAATTTGCTTAAAACTTTGGTGAATTGTTTATATCTATTGACGTGAGCTCCCTTTCGTTTTTTATAAATTGTAGATTTTACGTTTCCGAGTTATGGGGTTTTATTCATTAAAAAAAGGGGGATTTTCCAGTTTTCGGACAATAACTCAAGAATGCTTTCACCAACTTGCAAGAAATTGTGGTTAATTGTTTATATCTATTGACATGAGCTCCCTTTAGATTTTTATAAATTTTAGATTTTACGTTTCCGAGTAATGGGGTTTTATTCATAAAAAAAGGGGGATTTTCCAGTTTTCGGACAATAACTCAAAAATGCTTTCAGCAGTTCTCATGAAACTTTGATGAATTGTTGATATCTATTGATGTAAGCTCTCTTTATAATTTTATAAATTTTAGATTTTACATTTCCGAATTATGGGGTTTATTCATTAAAAAAGGGGGGATTTTCCAGTTTTCAGACAAAAACTCAAAAATGCTTTCAGCAATTAGTATGAAACTTTGGTGAACTGTTTATATCTATTGATGTAAGCTCCCTTTAGAATTTTATAAATTTTATTTGTTTATAGTCTGACAACAGATTTACTAAGTATTGCGCAACAGCACAGTGAATTGCACAACAGCAAGAAATCTTTAATTGAATATACCAGGTAAATTCAATTCATATAACCAACTTCAAGTTCTTTGACTGAATTTATTCAGAAACCTATAATAGATGTATGTCAAATATTTAATTACAATCCAAATTCAGACCTGTATCAAGCTTGAATATTGTGTCCATTTTTGCCCCAACTGTTCAGGGTTAGACCTCTGCGGGCGTATCCAGCTGCGCTCAGCGAAGCAGTTTATTACATAATAGATATGAATAACCACCTTACCAAAAAAGAAAATTGTTTCTTATATTTTGATATCCTTGAGTTACAGTAAAAATCTAAATGCTTTTATATATTATATAATATGTCATTCTTGTTTAGACATTTAAGTGAAAGTTAGGATGTATTGTCTTTAACATTAAACTTTCATTTCTACATGATTTTCTGAATTTAGATTTGGAGGCGTGAAAAAGGAAGAGAAATGCACAGTTGTCCTCCACCTATGGAGAAACATATCATTATAAAAGTAAGTAACAAAAAGTAATGATCATAACCAACAAATAAGGAATTAGTTAACCTGTTTAGACCTTACAGTTAGCAGAACAAGGGATGCTTAAACCATGACCATTGCCAACAAAGTAAGTAACCATTTACCTGTCTACACCTTATAGCTAGCACAACAAGGGATGGTTAAACTCTAACCATTACCAATAATGTAAGTAAGCAGTCAAACTGTCCACACCTTATATATATAGCACAATAAAGGATGGTTAAACCATGACCATTTCTAATAAAGAAAGTAACCAGCTAACCTGTATCCACCTTACAGCTTGCCCACCGAAGTGATGCTTAAACCATTAACCTTGTCAACAAAGTAATTCAGCAATTAACCTGTCCACACCCTATAGCTAATGCAACAAGGGATATTCAAACCATGACCATATCCAATAAAGTAAGTAACCAATTAACCTGTTCACAGCTTATAGCTAGCACACCAAGGGATGCTTAAACCATGACCATTGTTAACAAAGTAAGTAACCTGTCAATCTGTCCACACTTTATAGCTAGCACCAGTAACCAGTCAACCTGTACACACTTTATAGCTAGCACAATAAGGGATGCTTAAACCATGACCATTGTCAATAAAGTAAGTAACCAGTCAACCTGTACATACGTGATAGCCTGCACAATAAGGATTGCTTAAACCATAACCATTACCAATAAAGTAAGTAACCAGTTAAGCTGTCTACACCTTATAGCTAGCACTACAAGGGATGTTTAAACCATGACCATTGTCAATAAAGTAAGTAACCAGTCAACCTGTATACACTTGATGGCTAGCACACCAAGGGATGGTTAAACCATGACAATAACCAATAAAGTAAGATCAAAGATAAAAATTGAGAATAAAGGAAAGTACTATTACAAAAACTATATAGCATATGCATTAAGGTAAGGTTTGCATACACAGGGAGATAACTTGAATTCAAATAATTGAAAAAAAGGAGGGACCCGCCATTTTGAATTGCTTTGATTAACCAATGTTCGTTAACTACAATATTATCGAAAATAAAACAACACCTACCTCAAAATCGCCGTTTTGATGTAATTTTATCAAAATTTGAATTGTACAAGTAACGTTATGACCTTCAGTTTGTTAGTTTTCATTTATATGACGTCAGGTTAAGCCATAACGTCTTTGTGCAAAAACCATTCATAAAATTTCGCGGAATTTTATTTTATTTCATAAATGTACATTTTTATGCCCCCGCCGTAGCAAACGGGGCATTGAGTTTTATCCTTGTCTGTTTGTACGTCCAACCGAATGTACTTATCATAGTGTACGTCCGTTTTTACCGTTGCAAAATTGGTTTCCGTTCTCTAACTTTAGTTTGCCTCAACCAACTGATATATGAAACTTATGCACAATGCTTTTTACCACAAAAAGACAGAATAAATTTGAATTTTGATGTCGTCACTTTTACAGTTCTAGATTTATGAGGGGTCGGACAGGGTATACCTTTCTCCTTTCTCCCGTCCCCTTTCTCTTGTAGCCGTAAACCTAAAAAAAACTAATGTATGGGAAGCTCATTTCAATAGAAATCGATCTAATATCTTGTGTTTTTATGGCTTATCCCTGTCTTGTCCTTTCACAAGATAGAAGTGTTGTACCTCGATAACTTTTTCACTGACTGTTAAGCTGTCTCTTTCATTTAATTTGTAAGTCTGATGCACGCCGTTTCCGATTTTTCATAAAGTATAAATACAAATTATAGAAACGCAGAATTGAGTGAAAAACGGCACATTTTTGTGATACTTTTAGTCAATTTCGTTTAAAATGGTTGGAATTTACATAATGCGCCATGTGTTTTACTTATAGAGGATGCATATATATATTCTCAAATATTTTTATTGCATAATTTTTACGAATGACAGACAGTTGAACTTGGTCTTTTCAAATGTACAGTTTGCAAGGTTTATCCGCAAATACGCACACAACCCACACGTTTACATCATTCGAAATATATGTTATTTTATCAATCACTTTTACAACTGACGGAATATTTCTTATCGTAATTTCTTTTATGGATGAATAAAAAATGTGTCTTTCAGACACAACTGTTGTATTGTGTCGTCCTGAACATGCCTGAAGTATTTGCCACCGGACATTTTACAACCTCTAATCAAACAGACTTCTATGCATATCAGTCAACTTTGAATCAATTTATCTAAAAACAAGGATGGTAACATGTGTCTCTACACATGCACGGACTCACTATAAAATCCGGGAAATTGTTAGTTTTTAGTCTTTCTCCGTATATATAAGAGATCATAATGAAGTAGTGACGACGCTCGGATTATTTTTATGAGGTCGTTTTCTGAATTTTTCGTTTCTGTTCTCTACCTTTAGTTTACTTCAACCAAATGTTATAGAATTTATACGTTATGCTTTATAATGTTTTATGTTTATGCAAGAGGGGCATCATCAATGTCCCATGGACACATTCCCCATTTATTCTAAGCTCTTACGTATTATTTCGTTTTGTAATGCATTAGAATCGGAATTCCATTACTGTGGTTGAAGAGTAGACACAATCAATTTTGATTTGACGGTCGCAAATTTCCGTTTTACTGTCTCCCCTATATACGCATCGACAGTAAAACTGCATTTGCGAACATCAAATCGCCAATTGACGGTGGAGACTCCTCAACTACAGTGCCGTTACTCCTGTGAACTTCATTGAACTGATTTTAATTTATTGAAAGTATGTGGAAGATTTTTATATCACAGGTCTACATAACTACATTTCTTATTTTAAATATGAACAATACATATACGGCTGGTCATTTGTATTCCCAGGCCATTGTCTGTTTCGTCTTTCATCATGTATAGGAGCATGTAGTTTGTTTGTTTGGTCAAAGACCCCAAATCTGAACATCATGTGTAACAATTGGACAAATCATGCTAGTAATCTCAGTATCTTTCTCCTGCAAGGCTTTCCCCTGCTTCGTCATAAATATTTGAAATATTTGATCATATTTGAATAACATTTGTTGATGTCTAGATTTAAACTAATGGAATAAACACGGCTGCTGTAAATGACTTTACTAGTCAAAACTGATGTCTTTTCATCCAATTGCTGCATACAAACAGTTTACCAAACATGGGGAAATAAAGCAATTTTCATTACTTTTAATGGCAATTTGAATGCTTTCCTAAGATTCAAAATATTACAGTTTGAAGCACTGAAAGAATATAAGTGTTTCCTTCAAAATCAGAGTCTTGTACATGTATTGATACACAAGTATGACCAAATTTAAACACCTCCCCTTCCGACTGATAGTTGTGGGCATAAAAGTTAAGGGACGACATCAAAAGTTCAATGTAGGATAAAAAAAAAACTTAATTCACATAGTTTGTTCACTGACCCTCCCCCCTCCGTCCTCTTAACTTAATTTGGAAAAAAAATGATTGACCAATATGGCTATATGTAAAATCGATGTCAAATTAACAAAACTTGCAGCAACTTTTATCCCTCCCCCAAACTACTTGAATTAAGTTTTTTTCCCAAAGTGTTACAAGACAAAATGATTCTTTGTAAAAAGATGCTATTAAAGATGACTTTCTTCTTTGGAGATCAACAAAAAAAATATTTTTGTGTTTTACAGAATTGACAAGATGAACACATAACGCCCATTTCCGTAAAAACGAGTTCAGGGACATACCAATTTTATTAGCTCATTATAATGCAAATAGTTAAATCTTTTAGGTCACAGTTTTTTACAAAAACGGTGGACCCGGAAAAGGGATAATTTTGGCTTTTTGTTGCCATGGCAATGGGTTTTTTTAACCAAAAAATTAAAAAATCTTGTTTTTAGGAACTTTTTTATGATTTTTTTAATTAAAATGTATTATTAATTAATGGACCACAATTATTTAAACATGTTTTATTCAGTTTTATTTCTTTATAGTCACTCGCATACATTATTATTTCAGAAGAATTCAAATACAATTTTCCCTAAAAATCGTCAAAAATCGGAATTTTGAGCTTTTCACCTGAAAAAACAGGACAGGCGATGTTCGATTTTTTTTCATTAAATGATTGGGTACTCCTCCCTGAACAAAATGATGTATCATATTGGTATAATATCACTTAGCAAAAAATCCAGGTTTCATGCAAACCTTACCTTAAAGGTGTCAATCAATATGACTGTATACCTAATGACACATAAAAGCCAAAGACATTTTAGAGGCCAATATACAGTCTTCAGCAATAGACAGCTGTTATAAAATTCTCACAGGTGCTTTTTGGTATTTCTTACCCAAAAAACATATTTTATACATACTGACATGTTAATTTAATGCATTTTGTAGCAAAATATCATTTTAGGTAAAGCCTTTGGTCAAATTTAAATATTGATGACAATGACTTAGATCTCAAAATATTTTTTTTTTTCAGTTTTGTACTTATTTCAGTATATATATATGTTTCAAGCCTTAATGCAAAAAGTAAAAAAACAAAAATACCGAACTCCAAGGAAAATTTAAAATGGAAAGTCCCTTATCAAATGGCAAAATCAAAAGCTCAGACACATCTAACGAATGAAAAACAACTGTCATATATGTGAGAAAAAATTCAAAACTATGAATACTGATATCTGTCAGACTAATTTTTTATAAACACCTGTTCGATGTTATTTGATAGATATTTAATACTTTTTAATTTTTCAATTCAAGGAGCAAAGTGGGTTTTCATATCTTCTCCATGGCTTATTAAATCCTGCCTGACAGAGTAGGTTTTCAAACAAGTCTGATAGTGCCTTCAAAATACAGAAAACCATTTGACAGCTTGTTCCTTGTTGGTTTTTAGATGTAAAAGCACATTTTAAACAAATCACCTAAATAAAAATAAGAGCCACCAAGTGTAAATCCTAGGTAGGTTTGAATTCTGGATTCTAGAATAGTAATATTATAGTTCTGCTAAAATACTTTTCATTTTCTAAAGGAATGATATTTTTGAGCCATATTTTTACTGACATCTGATCTTACTACTGTATTGAGAATTCTATTTTTCACTGAAAATCTCATTGTTTCAGCTTCAATCTTTAGGAATTGACAGTAATACTATAAAATTCCATACAGTTACAATGGAGTCTGATAAATATATATGTGTCAGAGAAGACAACCAGCTGATCATATTTAATATGGATAATGACGAACATCCATACAGAAAACCAGTACAGGCGGACTCCAGTATTGTCAATCCTAGAAAACAACATATTGTAGCAGTAAGATGTGAGTTTTTATGCCCCACCTACAATAGTAGAAGGGCATTATGTTTTTCGGTCTGTGCATCCATTCGTCCGTCTGTCTGTCCCACTTCAGGTTAAAGTTTTTGGTCAAGGTAGTTTTTGATGAAGTTGAAGTCCAATCAACTTGAAACTTAGTACACATGTTCCCTATGATATGATCTTTCTAATTTTAATGCCAAAGTAGAGTTTTGATCCCAATTTCATGGTCCACTGAACATAGAAAATGATAGTTCGAGAGTACACAAAACACATCATAGAAAATTTAAGACTGAGCAATACAAACTCCCCCAAAAACAGGGGATGATGAAAGGGTAAGCAAATCCTGCTCCACATGGGACACCCATTGTGTTACTCCAATGAAATACGTAGATAAGTTTTACCAAGTGATTGGGTATCTCAAAATAGCTGATTGGTAATTGACTCTTATCTAATCCTAAAATATCCCCAAATTAATAAACCATCGGTAAAGTAAATGTTCAAACCCTGAAACTATGCCGACTTGGAAATTTGAAATAGAAACATGATTTTCATGAAAAAGGATAGACGAGACTTGTTATCAGTATAAACAACACAGACATTGAAGAATTAAAAAGCACAAAGAAGAACAGAAAACATAAGCAAGAACAATGGGACCCCTTTTAAAAGAACAGAGTTATAAAAACACCTAATGCATTCATAGCAATATACAAGTTATAAAGAACATTCTTTTTTTTAGTTATTGCCCTTTGATAGATATTATGTATGTTAGGAAATTTTGCATGAGTCTGATTTTTGCTATATTCTCAGTTAACATTTTACATAAAAAATTAGCCTAAACAAACATTTCATTCTCCATTAAATACACTGTATGCGACTGCTTAGGATGAACAATGAACATAGCATAGATTTAACTGTCCCATTAAAGGCCAAAAAAAATGCCTACAAAATCTGACATGAAATTACGGTATGTACAGTATAGATAAGTGAATATCTAATACACTAATATTCTGTTATTCAGTGTTTCAATGTTATTTACTTGCAGAAGTATTTTATATTAATGGTCATATTTGCCAGTGAAGACCTAATCTGAAACTTTATATTTTAATATAAAGCATTTAGTTTACAGATGCTTTTGTTTGTTATCTTTTTAAAAATTCCTGATTGGAAGTTTGATGTAACATTTACCTTTTCAGAGATATAGATTATTGTAGTTCTGTCCTATTTTGATGATTTTTCAACTTGAATTCCAAATTAAGACTGCCTACTTTAATTTCAAGGGTGCAGGACATTTGCACTTTTTTTTTAACACAAAAGGATATCTGTGCTTTTAAACTTTGATACACCTGAACTAAACAGATGTTCCCATATTCTTTGCAAATTTTCCCGTACAAACCACAAACTCATAAAAACATTATTCCCGAAACCAATAGAGAAACAAAAAACGATTTTTTTATGGTTAGAACATTTAAATTTTCCCCTAAATTCTTCAAGCAGCTTTATAAGTAGATTTAAAGATGGAAACTATATTCCTCGTGTATACAATGTACTGCATGGATAGTATGTGAAATTTTACCACCATAGTCTTATCTAAGCTGTTTCAATTTGTTATTTTTAAACCATATGCTTTTCATTATAAAAATAAGGAGATGTGGTATGATTGCCAATGAGACAACTATCCAACAAAGTTCAAATGATGTGGATGTAGTAATAGGCAACCGTGCAGCCTTCAACAATGAGAAAAACACATACTGTATAGTCAGCTATAAAAATGCCCTACATAAAAATTATGAAACAATTCAATTGAGAAATTTAACGGCCTAATTTATAACAGAACAATTATGAAAGCAAATATGACAGACATGCACCAACAACAACCACTGAACTACAGGTAATGACTTGGGAAAGGCACATAAAGAATGTGGCATGGTTAAACATGTTTGTGAGCGCTCAACAGAAGTGTAACAGCACAGCATAAGAACAAACTATAAAAATCAGTTGAAAAAGGTTCATCAGATCAACACAAAGAAGAAAAACATCAAACAAAAACACGTACCGGACGTGGCATGGTATTTAAAATCCTTCATCCCTAAAAACTAAAAGACACTAAGTATGGGTCTGAGAGTACTCGCAGTTTAATAACTTACAGCTAGTGCAAAGCCAATAACAACTAATAAAAAAATCATGTTAACTATAGAAAGAGTCATGGTTGTTATAAGGAATTTACTTCAATCTGCCCTCCTGAAGTTTTATTGTTTTCATCTGACACAAGCATGATGATGTAAGATGAAATCTTTTAGCTGTATATAAATATATGAATGTATTGTGTTTTTTTTTTTTTTTTTTTAAATTTTTAACCATGAAAACTCAAATTTATGTTGATAAAGCAAAAATGTCCTATAGAAAAAGCACAAATGTCCATTAAAAATCTCACATGCCCAAATTTTATAAAAAAAACCAAGATGACTGTCAATTCCATGATATTTCTCATTAAGATCTTTAAACTAAATTTTAATCATTCACTTGTCAGTAGACTGTAGTTGTATTATTCCATGTCCCATTACAGCTCTTTATTCATTATTTTTGATATCCTAAAAAATTACCATAGATATTTTAAGTATTATGAGCTGACGTAGATTATCATAAAGCTAATTGGTTAGCTTATATTTATGATTATTAAAGTTGACTAAGTTTTTTGTAGAGTTTTATGCCAAATCTCATCAGATTTATATACCAATGAATTTTATGTACAGGTGGCAAAACTATACAGCTATATGATTTACATAACAAGTCAGAGATAAAGACTTATCAGATGAAGGAAGATGTCAAGTTTTGGACCTGGATTTCTGCTGATACAGTTGCCATGGTGACAGATAAATCAGTTTATCTGCATAATTTTTCAGGTAGCCAGTTATGAAATTTAGCTTTATATGACATTAACAAGCACAGAGAGACATTATTCTATATGTTAATGAGAGGAGGAGGATGGGGTCTCATCCTGAATTTCAGAGAAAAATAAACGCCAAATCCCTAATTCAAATGAAAATAATGTGTCTGTTCCTAATTATTGCAAACCAAATGAAAATTTTCCACAGAGTCATCTATTGGTCGATCTATTTAAACTTTTGTCAGTTCTATTGACCAATTGAATAAATACAATAGCTATTGTTTTCTGTGTGATTTATTCACTGGGACCTTTAAATTTCTTCTAAGAAAAATCCATCACTCATTGATTAATTTACCTGAGTAAAAAAAATGATCTTCTGAAAGATGAAAATACATGTTTTTACTCACAAAACTGCATGTGATGTTGTATTTATTCAATATCAATAATAATTATCAATCTGTTCAATATAAACAGTGATTCAAACATTAAAAGTTGATTTGTGACAAAATTTTCAACATATGACATATTAATTTGTATCAACAGACTTACTTCTTCCTCACTACAGATATAGAAAATTTTAACTCCTGTTAGGCTTTACATTTTAGCTCCCAGTACTTCAAAATTTGAAAAAAAATCACATTCCTTCACTGTTTTTACAGATGGTAGAGAACCAAAGAAAGTTTATGACCATAATAGAACTTTGAACAACTGTCAGGTGGTTGGATATAAGATGGACCCTGATGGACACTGGTCAGCCTTAACATGGATATTGAAACAGGTCATAAAGTAAAAAAGAACATAACAAAAAATGGATGGTTGATGGAAATAAAGCTTTCATTTGTACTACAAGGGGATTGTGTGTTAATGAAGTTACATATTTGTGGATGAAAATGAACAAGCAATTGAATGATGTATTATTTAACTACTTAGAAATGGATATATTATGATTTTGAGACAGTCTGTGTCAGCTATTTTAATGTTTTCTATATGGAATGCGCTCCAATGTCCCACAGCCCTAACACATCCTGAAAAAGACTGTCAAACATCAGAGTAATCTTGGACTAGCTGATTATATGATTCCTTTCCAAAATTACATTTAATCTTCTTGAATAACTAAAGACATAGCTTTAAATGAGTACTTAAGTAAAATACTTCTTATTTTAAGAAATGGGTGCCCATTGTTTAATGTTGGATGTGTACTGATTGATATTTTAGTCTTAGATATTACATGATTTTTTTATAAGTTGTTATTGCTGATTATTTATAGCTATAAGAGTTGACCTATAGTTGCTTACTACTATGTCATTTGGTCTCTGGTGGGAATTGTACAGCATCTATTTCTATAATTACCCCACCACAATTTGTATGTGCCTGTCCCAAGTCAGGAGCCTGTAATTCAGGTGTGTTGCTGTATATCATATTTCTTTTTAGTTTATTGTTTTTATGCTGTTAGTTTTCTTGTTTGAATTGTTTTACATTTGTCATTTTGGGGGCCATTTATAGCTTGCCTTTTGATATGGAATTTTTCTCATTGATGAAGACTGTACAGTGACCTATATTTGCTTACTTTTCCATCATTTGGTCTCTGTTGGAGAGTTGTCTCATTTGCAATCATACCAAATCTTCTTAATTTCATTTTGCCAAATCTTATGAAATCAAATGTTTGTTGGGCAGTCATGACATATTCATATTAAAAAAAAATTATTGCTTTACATATGCTTCATGTAGCTAAAATTTGCAAAAAATGTTATTGAAATGTAAAATAAAATTTAACATACATATTAACCTTATAATTACAGGAGGATAGAGTGGTTGGTTTCACACAACTGTACTCCTTACAGAGTTGCATCAAACGACTGTTTGACAGTCACACAGCGACCTTTACAATGCTGACAGTGGATAATAATCCAGATCCCTCTATGCTATTGTTATATGCTGTAAGGGAGGACTATGGGGGCAAGGTAGATTTATAATAGAAACTTGTCAAGTTTGAATTTTGGTGGTGTCACTTGTAATGCTCTAGAGTTATGCCCCTTTACAAATGGAAAATTGGTTCCCTCTGGGCACTCCGGCTTTCTCCACCAATAAAACCTGACCACCACAAAATAGCACAATAGTGTTGAAAGTGGCGTTAACACCAATCAATCAATCAATATTTTCAGAGTGTATAGATTAATAAGTATGTTTATATGATTTGTTAAAAGAAGCAAAATCAATGTAGGTTAATTATGAAAAAATCTATTTTTAGTCTGATTTAGTTTTTTTTGTCATTGTTGTTTTTTATTGACTGGCTGATTAGAACATAACCAAGTTTGTTTTGTTTTTTTATTGTCTCACCTTCAATGAAAGTCATAGAATGCCAGACATAGGGATAACAATCTTGCTGGTGTAACATAGACAGCATAAACTATTTGTATAAAGCTTAATATTTCAGAAGACAGAAGACCTTGATGCTTCATACCTTGTGTGTAGATGCCTTATGTTATGAAGTTTCCTCCTGTCATATGTCCCTTGTCCTTGGCCTCATTTTCAAGTTTTAAAGACTGCTTGAAAAAAGTTAGAATTTTTTGGTCATGTGAAATACTCACTTATTATGAGTAATAGAATAACTATATTTGGTATAGGGGGTCCTTGCAAGGTCTACATGTCCATCAGTTAGGGTGTATCTGAACTCTACCTCATTTCATGGATCAGTGATCAAGGTTAAGTTTTTGTGGTGAAGTCTGCATATCAGATACTACATGTATAAGCAATGGATCAACTGTATTGGTGTGTGAAATGATTGTAAGGTCTACATGTCATATTGGCAGGTTTCATCTGACCTTGACCTCATTTTCATGGTTCATTGGTTAATGTTAAGTTTTTGTTGTTTGGTCTGTTTCTCAGATACTATAAGCAATAGATCAGCTGTATTTGATGCAAGGAATGATTGCAAAGTGTACTTGTCTGTCTGACAGGTTTTATCTGACCTTATCCTCATTTTCATGGTTCATTGTACAATGTTCAGTTTTTGTCGAGCCTGCGACTTTTGTCGCAGAAAGCTCGACATAGGGATAGTGATCCGGCGGCGGCGGCGGCGGCGGCGGCGGCTACGGCGGCGGCGGCGTTAGCTAACTTCTTAAAAGCTTTATATTTTAGAAGGTGGAAGGTCTGGATGCTTCATACTTTGTATATGGATGCCTCATGTTACGAAGTTTCCGTCAGTCACATGTCCAATGTCCTTGACCTCATTTTCATGGTTCAGTGACTACTTGAAAAAAAAGTTAAGATTTTTTGTAATGTTAGATTCTCTCTTATTATAAGTAATAGGATAACTATATTTGGTATGTGCGTACCTTGCAAGGTCCTCATGCCCATCAGACAGTTTTCACTTGACCTCGACCTCATTTCATGGATCAGTGAACAAGGTTAAGTTTTGGTGGTCAAGTCCATATCTCAGATACTATAAGCAATAGGTCTAGTATATTTGGTGTATGGAAGGACTGTAAGGTGTACATGTCCAACTGGCAGGTGTCATCTGACCTTGACCTCATTTTCATGGTTCAGTGGTTATAGTTAAGTTTTTGTGTTTTGGTCTGTTTTTCTTATACTGTATGCCATAGGTCTACTATATTTGGTGTATGGAATGATTGTAAGGTGTACATGTCTAGCGGGCAGGTGTCATCTGACCTTGACCTCATTTTCATGGTTCAGTGGTCAAAGTTAAGTTTTTGAGTTTTGGTCTTTTTTTCTAATACTATATGCAATAGTTCAACTATATTTGGTATGTGCGTACCTTGCAAGGTCCTCGTGCCCGTCAGACAGTTTTCACTTGACCTCGACCTCATTTCATGGATCAATGAACAAGGTTAAGTTTTGGTGGTCAAGTCCATATCTCAGATACTATAAGCAATAGGTCTAGTATATTTGGTGTATGGAAGGACTGTAAGGTGTACATGTCCAACTGGCAGGTGTCATCTGACCTTGACCTCATTTTCATGGTTCAGTGGTTATAGTTAAGTTTTTGTGTTTTGGTCTGTTTTTCTTATACTGTATGCCATAGGTCTACTATATTTGGTGTATGGAATTATTGTAAGGTGTACATGTCTAGCGGGCAGGTGTCATCTGACCTTGACCTCATTTTCATGGTTCAGTGGTCAAAGTTAAGTTTTTTGAGTTTTGGTCTTTTTTTCTAATACTATATGCAATAGTTCAACTATATTTGGTGTATGGAAATATTTTATGATCTATTTGGCAGTCATGCAGGTTTTATTTGACCTTGACCTCATTTTCAAGGTTCATTGCTCAGTGTTAAGTTTTTGTGTTTTGGTCTGTTTTTCTTAAACTATAAGCAATAGGTCAACTATATTTGTTGTATGGAAGAATTGTTAGCTGTACATGCCTGCCTAGCATGGTTCATCTGACCTTGACCTCATTTTCATGGTTCACTGGTCAATGTTTAGTTTACTTGGTTAATGTTAAGTTTATGTGACAGTTGTAATAAAGCTTTATATTTAGGACTATCAACATAATATCAATGATTAGTAAAGAAGGCGAGACATTTCAGCGTGTGCACTCTTGTTTTCAGTTGGGTCTATTTATCAGATATACCATAAGCAGTAGGGCCACTATATTTGGTGAATGGAATGATTGTAAGGTGTACTGGTACATGTCTGTCTGTCAGATTTCATCTGACCTAGACCTCATTTTCATAGTTCATTAGTCAATGTTAAGTTTTCATTGTTATTTCTGTTTCTCAGATACTATAAGCAATAGGTGTATATAATGATTGCATTGTGTTCATGTTGTCTGGCTGGGTTCATTTGGCCTTGAACTCATTTTTATGATTCATTGGTCAATGTTCAATTTACGTAGTTAGGTTTGTTTCTTAGATACTATAAGCATTAGTCTAACTATATTGACATTCAATTATAATAAGTAAAGCAGGAAAGACATTTCCGTGTGTGCACTCTTGTTGTCAACTGTGTTACATATAACCTTTGATATGCATGCACTCATTTGCATTTTGAAGGAATTCGGGGTGTGATTTGTCAGAAACATATCTGTTATAAAAGATTCAAATATTGATTTTTAAAATAAGTATAGGCTATTTATAATACATGAACAGTCCAGCTACCCAAAGGATAGCCCTTACTTGAAAATTTTATAAAAATGGCACATTATAAGAAAAGCCAGGTCAAATTGTTCTTGCTTCTACAGGAAGCTAAGTACAACTTAGTAGCCACAGCTATTGTTTGGATACTGCCACTCAAGAAAACCAATTTTATAGACATATTTAAAAAGCATATATCATAAAAAGAAATAAGATATATATTTTTTATATTAATTTGTACGGATTTTTCTTTTTCCAAATTTATTTCCAGCTTCACATACAAGAAGTAGGTCAACCCTGTCATGGTAACCAGCCTTTTACAACTAGAATTGTTGATGTTGATTTCACAGACAAAGATGACTTTCCTATTGCAATAGAGGTAAAACTGCCAGATATATTTGATGAAACGCGGTCCATTTTTCATCAAAAGAGAAACCAATAATCCCAACACGAGTGCCTCTGAAATTTCTTGTTAAAAATGTATGGCAATAAAACTAAGCATTTAATACATGCATCTTGCATACATGCAGAATTGTTTCTTTTTAGATCATCTGGTCAAAAAATCCATGATCAGTTTTTGCCATCACTTGGAGTTTGTTAATGGTAAAATTAGAAAAAAAAAACATATAATAGATAGAGAAAATCTGATTGGAAAAATGTTTAGAATGTCAACATCTCTTTACCTACATTCTTTTTGGACCCAAATCATCAGATGTCTCCTTTGAGCATCTTGTTTTATTTTATATTATATAAGTTATGATTATTTTATTATGTTTGCAAATATAATGATAATTATAATCATTATTGTAGGTTAACATAAAGCATAGGATAGTTTTCCTGATAACAAAAATGGGTTATGTACATATGTACATGATAGAAACAAGAAGACTTATCTATACAATGAGGACAAGTGATTCTACAGTGTTTGTTACAGCTCCTCACGAGAAAGGATTTCTGGCTGTAAATCAGGTTGGATGGGTGAGTCATATTTATGCACATTAAATATTATACTTACTGAAGGTAATTCAAAAACTATTAACTTCTCAAGTATTTTTTATGCCCTAGCGCTAAGGGAAGGAGGCAAAAAGGGTTATCCTTGACCATTTGTCTGTCTTTCTTTCCTTCCCATTTTCTTTTCCTCACTCTAACTTCAGTTTTACTCATTCAAATTTTATAAAACTTGTACACAATGCTAAGAACCAAAACTTGCAGACAGAGTTCAAATGTTGGGCAGTGAGTCACTTTCTGTTCTAGAGTTATGCCCCTTTATAATTTGGAAAATTGCAAATTTTTTCGTTTCTGCACTCTAACTTAAATTATAACATCACTTAATTGTTGACTTCAAAGTAATTTTTGATAATAAAGGAGTTCTAACTTACTCAAAATTTTGACCCAAAAAATGTGAAAAATTTAACTGATGTAATGTTATTAAAATGTCCAATTGTTTCAGTTAAAGAAGATTTTCACCAATTCCGTCATTAATGATGTATTTGTGGTGTCATAAATATGGGTGAATTTCGTTACAAATTGATGTTTTGCATGATCAGTCAAGATTTATGACAGTTTTCTTAAAAAAATAACTGAGGAGCTTAGCCCCTGCCCACTTATGTCTTATATATATCACATTCTTTTTCCTTTTTACCCAAAACTTAAATGGGTGAGGGGTGTCGCCTTATATGAAAAAATTTCTAGAAAAATGGACTAGAATTAAATCTGTTCCTTTTTCAGGCTAATATAGAATATAAAACATCTAGTAATACATACACATTAGATTATCAATTATTTGTAGATGTGCAGATCATTTAAGAGTTATAACCTTAAGCTTGTAAAAAGTTCTATTTGAAAAAGATAGAACTATACCAAAAAGTAACTTTTTGATTTTCTGAGTGTTTTTATGTTACTTTAAGGTAATGTCAGTTAACATCAGAGAGGACAAGCTAAAATCATACCTACCAGAAAAGATGACCAGTACTATGGGACCAGCTAAAGAACAGTTCCTGAGTCAATTTAAGGTAATGACATGACAACTTACAAATATATTAAATGAGAATCATATTTACCACCAAAGGTAACCCATTATTGATGAGAGGCATTGTTAAAGAATGACTAAAAATCACATGTGTAAACCATTTGTAGTTTAATACTGTTGTCCTTATGACAATGTATAACTTTCATTGTCATACTACCTCCTCTGTGGTCTAGTGGTAGCATGCTCGCCTCAAATGCAGGAGTTCATAGATATTTACTGCTTCTCCACTACACAAGTACCGTTTAGGAGCAAAAGTCCAGTTAGAGAGATATGCTACATGCAGACTATTTGTCACCATGTGTACAAGCATGTATATATCCAGCTCAGCATGAGGGCAATTACAAAGCAGGGTTTAAATTCATATCACATTATCATGTTCCTGTTCTGAATATGCATTTCATTTTCCACTGGACGTTAACCAGCTATACATCCATCATAATCATACTAACATCATGCCAAAAAGGCAAGATATTTTTTATTTTTGTCTAGCCTGCAATGGAGGTGGCAGAATACGGCACAAAGGTATGTACAGCGCTGCAGTGTAAACTATCTGTATAAAGCTTTGTATTTCAGAAGAAGGAAGACCTGGATGCCTCATGTTTTATCTGACCTTGAACTTATTTTCATGTTTTATTAGTTAATGTTAATTTTTTTGTGAATAGTTCTATTTCTTGGATTCTATAAGCAGTAAGTCAACTATATGTGGTATAAGAAATGATTGTTAGGTATACATGTCAATCTTTCATGGTTCATCTGATCTTGACATAATTTTCATGGCTCATTAAAAATGTTAAGTTTATGTGTTACTTGTAGTTAAACTTTTATCTTATAGATGTTTAACATAAATCAATCATGATCAATACATCAGACAAGACATATTAGCATGTGCACTCCTGTCTAGATTTATCTTCACCAGGAAGGTTCAAATCTCAAAATTTGAAAACCATGGATGTATCATAAAGAGGAGAAAGATACTAAAGGGACATTTAAACTCATAAGTCGAAAATAAACTGACAAAGACATGTCAAAAAAAGAAAAGGATCAAAAGACAAACAACAAAATAATAAACAACACAGAAAAATAATGACTGCAAGAGCAACCCAAACCCCACCAAAAACCTGGGGTGATCTCAAAACTTGACTAGCTAAATGACCATAAGAGGAAATAAAATTAGTGAAAACCATCTATAAAGACCAACTTATCTGATGGAGTTGGAACCTTAATTATGCCCCCGGCATAGCTGAGGGGGCATTAAGTTTTACCCTTGTTTGTCTGTACGTACGTACGTCTGTTCGTACGTCCCAAAGTTGGTTTCCGTTCTCTAACTTTAGTTTGCCTCAACCAAATGTTATGAAACTTATACAAAATGCTTACTACCACAAAACACAGATCAAGTTTGAATTTTGGTGGTGTCACTTTAACCGTTCTAGAGTTATGCCCCTTTACAAATGGAAAAATTGCTGAATTTTTTGTTTCTGTTCTCTATCTTAAGTTTGCCTCAACCAAATGTTATGAAACATACACAGTGCTTATTACCACAAAACTCAGATCAAGTACAAATTTTGGTAGCTTGACTTTTACTGTTCTTCAGTTATGTCCCATTATAACTTTATATGATATGCAAGCGGGGGCATCATTTGTGTCCCATGGACACATTCCCCATTTATTTCTTATGTAATTTCTTAATTTATGAACAAAATTTGTTAGAAATACATTCCTTAAATCATGTCCGGGGCAAAACACTGACTACTGGACTGATGATACCATTTGTCACTTAAAGTCAACCAGCAGTTCTTATAGATTCCGAGTCTAAAGTGGTAAAAGGCATACTAACCTAACTTTGATGAAATAAACTGGAACATCTATAGTTTTTAAAATGACTTCACCTGTTGATATTATGAAAATTGTACTATTTAATTTGCAAAATAACAATAGTTTCTGAACAAGACCCCCTGTCTAAGTTATGGAATTAGAATTCAAAGTACATTTATTTTTTTACCCACTTTTCACACTTTACTGAACATTATAAAAATAAGAGGATGTAGTATGATTGCCAACGAGACAACTATCTACATGAGACCAACAGAGGAAGGTATGATGTACATATTATAGTGCAAGTACTACATGATGTCCTATACACATATGTTCCTGAAAATATCTTATCGAAATTCAATGGCCAAAAAATGTGGCCTGATCATACCTCCTCTTTAGAAGCTTTTGAACCAAGGTTCCAAGCTGTAAAGTTGAAATCACCCCCTTGAAATTTTAAAGACTTATGAGTTTTGAATATCCCCTTGGTATCTTCTACCTCTTTTTATGCCCCCGCCTTAGCAGAGGGGGCATTAAGGTTTACCCTTGTACATCCATATGTATGTCCCGTAATTGGTATCTGTTCTCTAACTTTAGATTAAATTAAATTAGTTTCCCATGACCAATTGTTATGAAACTGATACACAAAGCTTATGACCACCAAACACAGATAAAGTTCAAATTTGGGAAGAGTCACTTTCACAGTTCTCTAGTTATATCCCTTTATAACGTTACATGCAAGCAGGGGCATCATCTGTGTCCCATGGACACATTCTCCATTTATTTAATATCAGAGTTAAAGAACAGTTGCGTACATCCCCATCATTTGGACTCAGGGGATAGTTGTCTCATTGGCAATCATACCACAACTCCTTGTTCATATATATATATATATATAGTTTCTTCCTTTATACACAGTGTGTTTTTTTCTCAATTCTGAGAGTTGAGTGCATTTTTAAAAATGGTGGTATTGGTGTTAGAATATGGCTACCTTAGCTGGCCCCATGAAGTAGGGAGTATTTTTCAGCCAACACAGCGGGTCTACTTTTCATTTTATGTGCTGTCTTTTATTTCTTTGGTCAAGTTCGTGGGCATCCTGTTTGTAGCTGAACTATGCAGGTTTTTACAGGACATACAGTAAAACAATATTAAAAATCCTGGAACAGTACTCAAGACAAAAAACTGACCTACTTATTTTGTGGAAGAAACCCTTCAACACATTTTTTGACGCTCAATTGAACATTAATCAGAAACAAACAACTAGTTATTAAGGATGTTCATTGCTCTTGCTTTTGAATTTTTGTCTGATATTGGGAATCCTCTGTTTTTATCCATATTGTCCCATAAGGAAAAATTGCCCACAGTTTTTGAAAGAAAAAAGGTACCAATGTTAAATGTATGAAAAATCTAGTGAGAATCATTTCCTGCCAAATTTTCAATGGCTTAATTAAATCTTAAAAACAAGGATTTATCTATATAGCAGTCTTTTAAAAAGAAGTGGCGGATCCAGTGGGGAGGGAGGGAATTCGTGGGTTGGAACCCCCCCCTCCCTCTTTTTTTTTGACGATCAATGCTTTTGAATGGCAACATATGGTTTGAACACCACCCCCCCCTTTATCCTGGGTTGGAACCCCCTTCCACTTTTAAAAATGGCTGGATCCGCTCCTGAGAAGCATGTAATTTTGAAACAGTGTTGCAATTATCCTTAATTGCTTTAATCTGTCTGCTATGAATGACTCAATATTTTGTAATCTCATGAACTTCACTTAAACACACTTGAGAATACTATATAAAAGTAGTCTCAGAACACACCTACCATGACTTACTTATTCGTAGTTAATATATTTCAGTAATTATAGGCAAAGTGAAAATACTGTGAAGTGGAATGATTTATTGACTCTAATACTATACAACAATGTACATGATGATTTGATCATAATAAATATATGCTCTGAAGTAATATGATATATTGACTTTAAAACTATATAACAGTTACATGGTTATTTCATTATAACAAAATGAGATATATAATAACAAACAGTTGTGAAGGGAGGAGGTATGATCAGGTCATTTTTTTAGCCCCTTCAATTAGAAAATCAAGAAGTATTAAAAATCTTCCAAAAAAGATTCACTTCAACATTTGTAAAACTTAAGTTTGTCAAACATCAGTATAATTGATATTTAGAATTTTGTCATACAAAATTGTGCTTCAAACTTCTTGCATATAGAGAAAAATTGCCAAAACTGCAAAAATAGCCTCATTTTGAGATCTTTCCATTTATTTTTTATATTTTCCAAGGCTTTACCCAAACAGATATTTTGCTACTAGATGTATTTTACAAAGGTGTTAATGTGTGTAAAATATTTTTCTTGGTAAGATCTTGGCTCATATCTAATTTTTCCAAAATTTGTGTTCAAAATGGTCCTTTTAGCTATAGGTCAAATATGTTAATTTCAACATGTTACTAACATCAAAGTGACATCACAGCTGACCTTTCTTCACTAAAGACTCCTGAGTATAACAGCATGTTCATTGATCAATTACCTTAACCTGATTTTGAAGGCTTGAATAATTTGTATATTTTTAGAATTTCAGGGACCAGATAATGGCTCTGATCATACCTCCTCCTTTGTAAATGTGCATACAGGTGAATAACTGGTATATTGAATAGTAAATTCACAAAACAATCCATACATTTCATATCAACATGTATCAATTTTGCTACCACAGATGCATATTTTTACAATTAATGTCTATTCAGTACTAATGATGCTCAAGGCTTAAATAATTGAAAATCCAATATTTTTTTTAATGGGTGAATTCATATTCCGCACAGAAAATGACTGTAAAAAGCTTGTCCTCAAAAACGTTTTTTCATTTGAAAATTAATTTGACTTGAACAGTCAATGGCTTAAGTTATTCATCATTAAGAATGCAGTTAGAGTGATTACTATGTGAGTGGTTTAGACTCCTTGAAGCCTATTGTTAACAGAAGTGTTATAAAGCTATTCATTACTTGTTTTGTGTGATTTCAGGGAAGATTTTAATTTCATTTTAAGATATTAGTACAAGGAATTTTACTATAACACATACAAATCTTGTTTGACCATGTCAGTCAGATCTTATTACCTAAGAAAAGTTATAAAAAAATGGGCTTCACTCAATTCTATATC